GCCACCAAGGGGCGGCTCGAGCCCCGCACAGCCCCGCCCGTTCCGGGGCTGCGGGAGTCTTACCGGGGAGAGCCTGGGCGGCACCAGAACCCAGACCTGAGTTACCCCCCGCGCGAGCGCCTCCGCCCCGCGGCCGACAGCCCCAGCCCGAACGGCTTCCCGGAGCCCACCGCCGCAGCCAACACCTCCTCCGCTGCCTCACAAAATGGCCGCCGGCCCGTTCAGCCGCTCCGCGTTCCAGAAAGGGGCGGGGTGGAACGTTTGCGTCATTGTGTGGGCGGCGCGGCGCGTGCGCACTGATTGTTTAGGGCGGGTTACCGGAAGTGCCCGTGAGGGCCTTTTAATTTCTTAGACTTAGGGCCCAGGTTGGGCTGGGCGTGGATGTGTGGCTGAACCCGCTCCGCGGCGGGACTGGACGCAGGTTGCTGCACTTCTTTCCAGCGGCTGTGAAAGGAGGGAAAGAGAGCCTACCGACAGAATTGTTCTGAGGATTAAACGGCCCATGAGTAGTGTTATTAATCTTGTCTTCACAAGAGAGTCAACACCAATTTTATTTTTTTGGGGGGGGTCCAGTTGTGGGGCCTGAACTCTGGGCCTGGGCGCTGTCCCTCAGCTCTTCAGCTTAAGACTAGCACCCTACCACCTGAGCCAAGCGCCACTTCCAGCTTTTTTCATTTTTGCTTATGTGGAGCTGAGGAATCGAACCCCGGGCCTCAGGCATGCAAGGCAAGCGCTCTACCACTGAGCCACCTTCCCAGCTCCTCAACACCAATTTTTTACTCCAAAAAACATTTCAATTCAGGAGGGCTTCTCCACCTTATCCCCACCACAACAACACTTTAGTATTACACTGTTACAGAGGGAGAGGGAGGAGGGGGAGAGGGAGGAGGATGGGGAGAAGGAGAGGGAGGGAGGAGGAGGGGGAGAGGGAGGGAGGGAGGAAAAAAGAGTAGGAGGGGTCGGTGGCTCACTTCTGTACTCTTCACTACTGAGATGAGAGAATCGCAAGGAGCAAGGTTTTTGTTTTGTTTTCTGTTCATATAATTTCTTGCAGTTAGCACAATTTAAAAATTCACCGATACACCAATAGTACAGAACTAAAGAGCATAATTAGTTATTCTTCCCTCAGGAAAATAAAACATACTGATTGCAAAGCTAGATGTCAGTCTTAAGTTTTAGAATAGAGGAAGAATGTCAACCTAAATACAAGAAAAAGCAATTGCTCACAATGACCACAAAAGAAAATCCCAAAGAAAGTCTGATTTCTCACAGACAGTGATTGTCTTCTCTAAATTAATTTTTTTTAAAAAAACTATTTTAACAAATTATTAAAAAAAAAACTAGAAACTCAAGTAACTAAAGATAATGCTTCAAGCCTATTTTCTTTTTTTTTGGTCCAGCTGTGGGGCCTGAACTCTGGGCCTGGGCGCTGTCCCTCAGCTCTTCAGCTCAAGGCTAGCGCTCTACCACTTGAGCCACAGCGCCACTTCCGGCTTTTTTTTTTCTTATGTGGTGCTGAGGAATCGAACCCAGGGCCTCAGGCATGCAAGGCAAGCACTCTACCACTGAGCCAACTTCCCAGCCCTTCAAGCCTATTTTCACAGCTTTGTTGTTGTTTTCTTTAAATGCCAACACAGCCAAATTAACACACATTTGATCAAGTCCAAAACAGTCCTGCAACACACAATGGAGTTTTCCATTCTTAAGCACAAAAATAGGCTATGTTTACAGTAGTTAAGGTGATCAAATTTTAAAAGCAATTTAAAAATGGGGGAGAGAGGGAACAGCAAATGTTTTGCATGACACTTCATAGACCATATTTGTAAGTGCAAGACAGGAAAACAAACACTGCAAAGTGCTCTAGCCCAGCGTACAGGTCACTGGAGCCACATACTCTAACCCCCTTCTCCGTCAATCAAGGTAGTCCAGTCCTTTCAGCCTAGGGTTTTTTTTTTTTTTAATTGTGAAAATACTGTACAGAGGGGTTACAATTACTTGGACAAGATAATGAGTTCATTTCTTATCAAGCATTGTAGCCTCCTCCTTTGTTTCCCCTTCCCATCCCTTCCCATCCCCCCCCCCCCTGCCTTCCTCCACCAAATCCTCCCCCCACCTTAGCCTTAGGGCTTTTTAAGTCTATAGAATCTTCTAGTGGCTCAGGACTGGAGGCTGAGATCTGAGAACTGCAGTTGAAAGCCAGCGTGGGCAGGAAAGTCCGGGAGACTCTTATCTTCAATTAACCTCTCAGAAAAACAGAAGTGGCATTGTGGCTCAAGTGGTAGAGCTCTCTCACCTTGAACTGAAGAGCTGAATGACAAGCCCAGGCCCAGAGTTCAATCCCTATGACAAAAAAAAAAGGGGGGGGGTGACTAGGAAGGGGGCTCAGTGGTAGAGCACTTGCCTTGCATGCCTGAGGCCCTGGGTTCGATTCCTCAGCACCACCTAAGAAAAAAGCTGGAAGTGGCGCTGTGGCTCAAGTGGTAGAGCGCTAGCCTTGAGCTGAAGAGCTGAGGGACAGTGCTCAGGCCCAGAGTTCAGGTCCCATGACCTGACCCCTCCCCCCCTAAAAAAAAGAATCTTCTGGGGCTTGAACTCAGCCCTTGACCCTTGACCTTGAGCCCCAGCACCACTTCTGGTTTTCTGTGTTTATGTGGTACAAAGGAATCAAATCCATGGTTTCATCCATGCTAGGCAAGCACTCTACCACTAAGCCTCATTCCAGCCCCAGGGCAAGTTCCTGAGACTAATATATTCAATAAACTACCAAAAAAGCAGGAAGTGGAGTTTTGGCTCCAGTGGTAGAACACTAGCCTCAAGCAAAAATGTAAGGCTCTTAATCTTCAATAAACTACTCAGAAAGCTGGAAGGAGGAGAAGAAGAAGAAAGTGGTGCTTGAGAACCTAAGTTCAATCAATCCCAAGTGACTCTCCCACACTCAAATACAGTCAACATAAAAGGAGGAAAAAACAGTAAACATGAAAAGCAATGTCAAACTGACAAGCAACTAGATAGACCCTGGAAATTTGCAAATTTGTTTCAAAAACCATAGCTGAGAATTCTGCCTCCATTTCTGGTAGTTTTCCATTGCGTTCAGTTATTCTAGTTGTGGGAACACATGGAACCTATCTGATTGAGAACTACAGTTTAGGTCTACAATGATATGACAGGTCTTCTCCGACCAGTTGATTGTCTTGTGCTCTTTTACATAGGGTGAGACCAATCAGAACAAAACAAAACAAAGGGTAGAAAAACCCTAAGACAGGGCTAGGAATGTGGTTTAGTGGTAGAGTGCTTGCTAGCATGCATGAAGCCCTGGGTTTCATTCCTCAGCACCACATACACAGAAAAAGATAGAAATGGTGCTGTGACTCAAGTGGTAGAATGTTAGCCTTGATCAAAAGCAGCTCAGGGAGAGTGTCCAGGCCCTGAGTTCAAGCCCTAGGACTGGCAAAAAAAAAAAAAAAAATTAAAAAAAGAAATAAGAAGAAAAACCCTAAGACTTAGCCACTTCTCAGAAGATTGAAAACTGGAGGACCGACATTCAAGGCCAGTACAGGATAAAAGTCTGTAATACACCATCTCAATCAATAAAAAGCTAAGTGCAGGGGCTGGGAAGGTGGCTTAGTGGTAGAGTGCTTGCCTTGCATGCATGAGGCCCTGGGTTTGATTCCTCAGCACCACATAAACAGTAAAAAAAAAAAAAAAAAAGGCCAGAAGTGGCACTGTGGCTCAAGTGGTAGAGTGCTAGCCTTGAGCACAAAAGCTCAGGGACAATGTCCAGGCCCTGGAATTCAAGCCCCAGGACTAGCAAAACCAAACCAAACCTGCTATTAACTACCAGAAATGAATTCTCAAATACAATGTATGTTATCAGGTATTTTGTTTGTTTTTGTCCGTTGTGGAGCTTGAACTCTGGGCCTGGGCACTGTCCCTCAGCTCTTCAGCTCAAGGCTGGCACTCTACCACTTGAGCCACAGTACCATTTCTGGCTTCTTCTGTGTACGTGGTGCTGAGGAATCAAACCCAGGGCCTCATGCATGCGAGGCAAGCACTCTACCTCTGAACCAACTTCCCAGCCCTGGTGCTCTACAACTTGAGCCACAGCACCACTTCTGCCTTTTTCTGTGTGAGAAATTGAACCCAAGGCTTCATGAATGGTAGGCAAGCACTCTACAACTGAGCCACCTTCCCAGCCAGTCCTGGGGCTTCAACACAGGGCCTGGATGCTTTCCCTGAGCCTCTCTCTGCTCACGGCTAGCGTTCTATCACTTGAGCCACAGCACCACTTCGGGCTTTTTCTGTGTATGGTACTGAGAAATCCAAACCAGGGCTTCATGAATGTTAGGCAAGCTCTCTACCACTAAGCCATCTTCCCAACCCCTAGGCTCTTTCTTTTTTTTTTTTTTGGTCCAGTCATAGGGCCTGAACTCTGGGCCTGGGCGCTGTCCCTCAGCTCTTCAGCTCAAGGCTAGCACTCTACCACTTGAGCCACAGCGCCACTTCCAGCTTTTTTCTTATGTGGTGCTGAGGAATTGAACCCTGGGCCTCTGGCATGCAAGGCAAGCGCTCTACCACTGAGCCACCTTCCCAGCCCCTAGGCTCTTTCTTTTGATCTCTTATTTCTCACTCCTTCTTAGGTGAGCTATCAATGGCTGGTCCTTCACTGGGTGGTCTTTGTTCAAACACCCAGCTTCATAGCTTCTACCTGGTTTTTTTCTCAATATAATTTTTCTCATAGCACTTAATACAATCAACATTAGTCTTTATTATTACTTTCCATCTTTTCACTAGTATGAAAACTGAAGGTAGGATCCTTTTTGGTCCTTATTAAACAATATAACTCCAATACCCAGAACCAAGTCTGGGTCAGGGCAGGCCTTGAAATAATTGTTAAATGAAGAAATCTGAAGCTGAATAATTTATAGACATCAGGTGGAGTAATCTTCCCAAGAGTGGCTGCAACTTGTTTCTCAGGCTCTGGTACAATCACACAGTAAATGAAAGAAAGTAAATTTATTTCTCCAGTGTTTAAGTTAAACAAATTTTCAGAAAAGAAACATAAATTATTAGAATGAGTGGTATCACAGATAAGATATTGGTATCTCTAGTAAGTTAAACAAAAAAGGGAAGGATAAGAACAAAAAGGAGACAAGCCTTCTAATAAACTTGTTGTTGGACTATTGTCAATATAAAGAGATGTCCTTTGAACGACAAAAAAAAAATGTTTGTTGCTGAATGAGCCAGTCCAGCTGACAGCAGAAAGTGATGATTTGAATGTACACATAGAAAAACACAATCCCTGAACAAAGAGCCTTCCTCCGGTACCTCTTGCTTTCCCCACAAAGGAGAGGTAAAGCAATAGCAATATCATAGCAAGCTTATCTTCTGCTTCAGGATAAGAATGCCCATATCCTGTATGATCAGAGGACTGCTGAAGAAAAATGGAGTCAGCCCCTACAAATGGGTTGACTTGAAAGTACGCTGTGCTGAAGTCTACTGGTTGAAGTCTATTGGTTGAATATGGAGCATCCACTGGGTTTAGCAAGGTTCAAGCTGTTCATGGGTCAATAAGGCAGGAAGGACAAGCCAGCATAAAGACTTCTAATGCTGAGTCCACTTGATGCTCTTGAGGTCAATGCCATCCTGCACCATCTCCCACAGAGGGCTGCCAAAGAGAAGAGACATTGAATGAGTGAAGACTTATATAGGAAACAGACAATATTGGCTCTAAGGCCCTGAGCAATGACTTACTTTCTTTTCTAACTTTTGCCCTTGTGCACCCCTATGGGAGAGAGTTAAAAAAGGGGTGACACTGTCAAGAAGCATTGTACTCATAACCTGACTTATGGAATTATAACCCCTTTTTACAACAGCTTAATAATGATAACAATAAAAATAAGAAAATAAATAAGTAAATCTTTCCCAACTGCCTGAAAGTCCTGGTTCTAGCCTCTACCAACAAATAGGAATAACTAGGTACCTCAGATCAAGGAGACCCTAAGACAATACATTTTATCAGGTATAGTTTATTTTTTTTTTATTTTTTTATTTTATTTTATTTATTTATTTTTTTTTGTCGGTCATGGGGCTTGAACTCTGGGCCTGGGCGCTGTCCCTCAGCTCTTCAGCTCAAGGCAAGCGCTCTACCACTTGAGCTACAGTGCCACTTCCGGTTTTCTGGTGGTTTATTGGAGATAGGAGTCTCACGGTCTTTCCTGCCCGGGCTGGCTTTGAACCGCGATCCTCAGACCTCAGCCTCCTGAGTAGCTAGGATTACAGGCGTGAGCCACCAGCGCCCGGCATGGTATAGTTTATTCTTGAAATTTTCATCCCATTTCTAAGACAGTCTTCCTGGGGGAACCAATACTCTTGACTGGTTCAAGCACCAAGTTTCAGCTCCTGAACTAAGAGCTACAACATATGTGGTTTGGCCACCAGGCTAAAACCTATTTCAGTTGGGGGTGGGGATGGGAGTGGGGGTTACTGAGCCTTGAACTCAGGGCCTGGGTAGCCTCCTGAGTAGCTAAGTTTACAGGCATGAGCCACCAGTGCCCAGCTTAGTTCTTTGGTCTCTGAAAGTGTGAACACACAGTCTAAAGACAAGGAGGAGTAAGCACTACATTTTCTCCCAAAAAGTCTGATTCATCTGTGCACACCTCATTTCTCTAAGACGCTTCACATGTTGAATACATTTCTCCACAGTATAGTCCACTTCCTCTTCTGTAGTAAAGCGGCCAATTCCAAACCTGAAGAGGCACAGAAGAACTCTGTCAGAGCTGGCATTGGGGCAGTGTTCTTGTCTAATACTCACTGAGGATCTTCAAGGAGAGAACAGGGTCCTACTTGTCTAGGACAGAGTTTTTCATAACATGTTCTCTAGGTGAAGATATTAGAATCACCTGAGAACTTTCTTACTACTACTGCAGACAGACTGAAGCAGAATGGCTGAGTAAGGGGACTCAGAAATTATCATCTTTCATGAACTTGCCAGGTGATACTTAGTAAAGTCTCAGTACCTCTGTACTGAATACTTTCACCAAAAAAATAAAGAACAGAGAAGAAAGGACTAGGAGTATATTTCAGTGGTAGAGCACAAACTTAGCACATGCAAGGACTTTGATTCAATTCCTCACACCAAAACAAAAATAAAACAACAAAAGAAAAATGGGGAGACTGGGAAGACGGCTCAGTGGTAGAGTGCTTGCCTAGCACGCATGAAGCCCTGGGTTCCATTCTTCAGTACCACATAAACAGAAAAACAAAAACAAAAACAAAAAACAAGCCAGAAGTGGTGCTGTGGTTCAAGTAGTAGAGTGTTAGCCTTGAGCAAAAAGAAGCTCAGGGACAGTGCCTGCCTGAGTTCAAGCCCCAGGATTGGCAGAAAAAAAAAAAAGGAAAACAGAAGAGATAGAGAAAAACAGAAAAAAAAAAAGAAAGAAAGAAACAGAAGATGAACAATAAAGGTAATGCCAGCTGGGTACCAGTGGCTAATTCCTGTAATCCTAGCTACTACTCAGGAGGCTGTGATCTGAGGATCACAGTTTGAACCCAGCCTGGGCAAGAAAGTAGAAAGTATATAAGATAATTAACCACCAAAAAAAAAAAAAAAAAAGCCAGAAGTGGAGCACTAATGCAAGTGGTATAGCACCAGGCTAGACTGGAAAAGCTAAATGACAGTGCTCAAGCCCTGAGTTCAAACTCCAGTACTAGAAACAAAAAGAAAAAAAAATGAAGAAAGAAAATTCTAAAAAGGCAGTGTCTTTACGGCTGGTAGTGTAGTGTATAGTGTTTGCCTAGCAATGCATGAGGCACTAGGTTCAATCTCAAAAATCAAAGGAAAAAGAAAGGATATTTCTAAGAAATGTTACAGCCCAGCTGGGCGCCAGTGGCTCATGCCTGTAATCCTAGCTACTCAGGAAGCTGAGATCTAAGGATCATGGTTCAAAGCCATCGTCAGCAGCAAAGTCTGTGAGACTCTAATCTCCAATAAGCCACTCAGAAAACCGAAAGTGGCACTGTGGCTCAATTGGTAGAGTGCTCGCCTTGAGCTGAAGAGTGCAGGGACAGCGCCCAGGCCCAGAGTTCAAGCCCCACAACCGACAAAAAAACAAACAAACAAAAAGACATGTTGCATCTCAAAAAGTGTGGTGTAGCACACCCATAATCCTAGCACTTGGGAGGCTTAGGTAAGAGATTTTGGCGCAAGGTCAGCTTGTTACATAGGGAGACATTATCTCAAAAAGAAAGGGAGGGTGCTTGGGCTAAGGAGGGTAAAAGATGAATATGATTATAACAGACTGTCAACATATATGAAAATAGAACAGTGGTGAAAACTGCTGAATTGTATTAGGAAGGAGAGAGGGAGTTAGGGAGAGGAAAGAAGGTAACTAATTGGAGTACCTTGTATGTAAGCATGGAAATGTCACAATGAATCCCTCTGGATAGCTAATATATATTTAAAAAAAATTGCAAGAGAGGGTGGGGGGAGTTGGGAAGAAAAATGTTGCAGCTGAACTCACTGACCTGATAGAAGAATGTGCTAGATCCTCATCAGTGCCAATTGCTCTAAGGACATATGAAGGCTCCAGGGAGGCAGAGGTGCAGGCACTGAGAAGAGAAACACCAGCCTTTCTCAGTTCATCAGCAACACCTGATTTCAGCCAGAGCATCACTCCCACCCCCAGTCTTCCTCTTTTCTGACAGTGACCTTCAGTTATACCACTGGAACAAAAGAGATCTAATTTTCCAGGGCCAAAGGGCCTGACACTGCCCTGTATATTCTAAGATGTGCGCCTTCCTTGAGGAATAATACCACCAAGTCATATAATACCCCATGTTTTCATCTCACAAAAAGAAGCATCAAGCCAGGTCAGTGAGTAACGTCTGTAATCCTAGCAACTCAGGAAGCTGAGATCTGAGGATCAAGGTTCAAAGCCAGCCCAGGTAGTAAAGTCTGGGAGATTCTTATCTCCAATTAACTACAGGAAAACCGGAAGTAGCACTGTTGCTCAAGTGGTAGAGTGCTTGCCTTGAACTGGAAAACTCAGGGACAACGTCTAGGCCCAGAGTTCAAATCCCATGACTGACAAAAAAAGGGGGGTATGCTGGGAAGGTGGCTCAGTGGTAGAGTGCTTGCCTTACATTCATGAAGCCCTGGGTTCAATTCCTCAGCACCACATAAGCATTAAAAGCAGGAAATGGTGCTCTGCCTCTTGAGCCTTGAACTGAGGGAGAGCGCCCATGCCAAGAGCTCAGGCCCCAGAACCGGCAAAAAAATAAATAAATAAAAGAGGGAGCAAAGAACTCTGTCTTCACTCCCCAGCACAGAAGAGATTATGTGTATGAGTCCAGAGTACAGCTAAACCCTTGGTGGGAAGAGGGCAACAGAACTCCTAGCATGACTTTAAAATAGATACAACTTTTGGGACTACAAAAAGGATCAAATTTTCCCAAGAAGCTGGGTACCAGTGGCTTATGCCTGTAATCCTAGTGACTCAGGAAGCTGAGCTCTGAAAATTGCAGTTCAAAGCCAGCCCAGGCAGGAAAGTCTGAGAGACTCTTATCTCCAATTAATCACCAGAAAAATGGAAGTGTACTGTGGCTTGAAGTGGTAGAGCACTAGCCTTGAGCACAAAAAGCTCAAGGACAGTATCCAGGCCCTAGTTCAAGCCTCATAACCAAAATAAAATAAAATAAATTCTGCAAGGAAGCCCTTCTAAGGTGAGCGTGGGCTGTGTCTTGACAGGAAAAAGATAACTTTTCCCATGAATTAAGACTTTTAGAGCCTGCGCTGGTGGCTCAGGCCTATAATCCTAGCTACTCAGGAGGCTAAAACTGAGGATTGCAGTTTGATGCCAGCCAGGCAGAAAAGCCTTAAGACTTTTTCTTTTTTTTGGTTGGTTGTGGATCTTGAACTCTGGGCCTGGGTGTTGTCCCTCAGCTCTTGAGTTCAAGGCTAGCGCTCTACCACTTGAGTCATAGAACCACTTCCGGCTTTTTTTGTTTATATGGTGCTGAGGAATTGAACCTAGGGCCTCATGCAGGGAAGGCAAGCGCTCTACCACTGAGCAACCTTCCCAGCCCAATACTTTTTTTTTTTGGGTCCGGTGGTGGGGCCTGAACTCTGGGCCTGGGCGCTGTCCCTCAGCTCTTCAGCTCAAGGCTAGCCGCTCTACCACTTGAGCCACAGCGCCACTTCCGGCTTTTTTCTTTTTGCTTATGTGGTGCTGAGGAATCAAACCCAGGGCCTCAGGCATGCAAGGCAAGCGTTCTACCACTGAGCCACCTTCCCAGCCCCTTTTTTTTTTTGTCATTATGGGTCTTGAACTCTGGGCCTGGGTGCTGTCCCTTAGTTCTTCACCTCAAGGAGAGCACTCCACCACTTGAGCCACAATGCCACTTCTGGTTTTCTGGTGGTTAATTGGAGATAAGAGTCTCATGGAGTTTCCTGCCGAGGCTGGCTCTGAACCAAGACTTAGCCTTAAGACTCTTATCTCTAATAAACTACTCAGAAAAAGCTGGAAACATGAGGCTGGGAAGGTGGCTCAGTGGTAGAGTGCTTGCCTTGTACGCATGAGGCCCTGAGTTCGATTCCTGAGCACCACATAAACAGAAAAAGCTGGAAGTGGCCCTGTGGCTCAGGTGGTAAGAGCACTAGCCTTGAGCTGAAGAGCTGATGAGCTGAGGGATAGCACCCAGGCCTAGAGTTCAAAAAAGACCTCTTGTATCTGTCTTCTCCATAACAGTAGTCTTAGTAACTTAACCTCTTCAGTACTAAGAAGCCAGACTACTCATCTCTACCACAGTCTCTGGCTATCTGTTGGGCTCACCTCCCTGAGGATAAAGCAACATCCTTGAGTGCCATCAGCAGACTCTCTCCTTCCACATATGCAAAGGAGAGGTTGATACAGCCTAGAGAAGAGAAACACTTATGAGAGTGGACTCAAAGTCTCAGCCTATTCCAGAATGCAGGTTGAGAGGGCATGTCAATACCTGGGTAATGCTGTTCAGGGTCCCCATTCATCACTACATCTGGAAGGCTCTTCATTATCTTCTGTATCAGCCGCTCTGATAACTTTGAGATCCGCTTGTGGTCATACTAAGGAGAAGTAAGGGAGGACCAACCATTAGTGACACCAACCATCTTGGAAACAAATAGTTTAAAAAGTTCTTCTCTTCTACCCAGGAATCAGACCCAAACACCATCATATATTTATGGTGAAGACCACTGCATCTCCAAAATTGAATAGTGTCTGGAGTGCTTACTAACTAAACACAAGTTGGCAACAGCCCAGAAATAAATGAGGTGATGACTACTAACAGGGTATAGGTTTTAGAACCCCTGACACCTCCCTCAGGACAAGGAGCCAGCAGCACCTGGAGATTTTTCTCTTTTCTTTTCTTTCTTTACTTCTTTGTTTTTTCTTTCTCTTTTTTCTTCTTTCTCTTTTCCTTTCTTTTTCTTTTTAGCAGTAATAGGGCTCAAGCCCTCATGCTTGCTCAGCTAGCTTGCTTGGCTGCAGCTCTACCACTTGAGTCACAATCCTAGCTTGATTTTTTGCTAGTTATTTTGGAAATGAAATCTCAGTCTTTTCTGCCCAGACTGGCTTCAAACTGTGATCCTCTGGATCTTAGCCTCCTGAGTAGTTAGGATTACAGGCATAAGCCACTGGTGCCCAGCAGCAGGCTTTTCTTAAACCTCCTCTTCCAACAGAGATCTGACTGAGCCTTGTTGAAATGCCACTAAAGAAACTTGGGCACAGGGTAAGAAGTATGGAAGGGAATTGCTTTCCCCATACCTCCATCTCTTGCTGTGCCACCTCACATGCAGCCCCTAGTCCCACCACCAAGGGTGTGGGCACTGTCCCAGACCGCATACCCCGCTCCTGCCCCCCTCCACTCTGCAGGGCTTCCACACGAACTCGGGGCCGGCGGCGGATGTAGATGGCACCAACTCCTAGGAAGCAAAGTTTGTTAAAAACGAGAAACACAGATAATACATGATGCCACTTGCCAAAGAATCAAAATAGCATTTAAAATTTTCTGCCTAAGTTGAATAAAAGAAAGCTGAGAGAGGGGCTGGGAAGGTGGCTCAGTGGTACAGTGCTTGCCTTGTATGCATGAGGCCCTGGATTTGATTCCTCAGCACCACATAAGCAGAAAAAGCCAGAAGTGGTGATGTGACTCAAGTGGTAGAGCACTAGCCTTGAGCTAGACATTACTGCCAAGTCTGTCTTTGAACTGCGATCCTCAGATCTCAGCCTCCTGAGTAGGTAGGATTACAGGCATGAGCCACTGGTGCCTGGCTCCAAGAGTCTTTAGCTCCCATTTCATGCATGGAGAACAGGAAATGTTTCTCTCTCTACATATATATATATATATATATATACATATATATATATATATATATGTATGTATGTATGTATGTATGTATATGTGTGTGTGTGTGTGTGTGTATATATATATGTATGTATGTATGTATGGGGGGGTTGCCCCATTTTAACCCTGTCACAAAAAAATGAATGTTTAAGCCAGGCACTGGTGGCTCACGCCTGTAGTCCTAGCAACTCAGGAGGCTGAGATCTGAGGATTGCAGTTCAAAGTCAGCTTGGGCAGGAATGTCTATGAGTGTCAGTAAGACTCTTACCTCCAATTAACCACAAGAAAATCAGAAGTGGCACTGTGGCTCAAGTGGTAGAGCACTTGCCTTGAGTTGAAGAATGCAGGGACAGTGCCCAGGCCCACCCAGAGTTCAAGCCCCACAATGGACAAAAAAAAAAGTTAAAAAAAAAAAAAAAAAGATGTACATTATACGGCTTAGAATATGGCTTTAGAGATAGAGTGCCTACCTAGCATTACCATGAAGCCTGGGTTCTATTCTTCAGTACTACGTAACAGAAAAAGCTAGAGGTGGCACTGTGGTTCAAGTGGTAGAGTGCCAGCCTTGAACAAAAGAAGCTCAGGGACAGTGCCCAGGCCCTGAGTTGAAACCTCACAATTGGAAAAAAAAAAAAAATGATGTACGTACAACTGGGTGCCAGTGACTCATACCTATAATCCCAGCTACTCAGGAAGCTAAGATTTGAGTTTCAAGTCACCCTGGCAGGAAAGTCTGTGAAACTCATCTCCAATGAACTACCAAAAAAGCTGGAAGTGGAGCTGTGGCTCCAGTGGTAGAGCCTTACCTTGAGCACAAAAGCTCAGGGACAGGCAGGGAGCCAGTGGCTCACATCTGTAATCCTAGTTTCTAAGGAGGCTGAGATTTGAGAATCAGAGTTCAAAGCCAGTCTGAGCAGGAAAGTCCATGAGGCTCTTATCTCTAATTAATCACCAGAACACTGGAAGTGGCGCTGTGGCTCAAGTGCTAGAGTGCTCAACTTGAGCTGAAGAGCTCAGGGACAGCACCCAGGTAAATTTTTTTAAAAAAGCTCAGGGACAGGGCCCAAGCCCTAGGACTGGCACAAAAACAAAAACAAAAACAAGCTGGGCACTGGTGGGTCACATCTGTAATCCTACCCTTATCTCCAATTAAGTACCAGAAAACTGGAAGTGGTGCTGTGGCTCAAAGTGGTAGAATGCTAGCCTTGAGTAAAAGAGGTCAGGAACAGTGCTCAGGCCCGAGTTCAAGTCCCATTAGTGAAAATAAACAAATAAACAAAAATAAAGAGAGAAACTAAGAGGATACAAATTATCAAGACTTCTAGAAACAAACACCAAGATATATATGAGCCTACAGAAAGCAAAGTTCTGAGAATGCAGGCATCTGAATATCACAGAAACTCAAAGAAGAGGAAACCTAAGAGGAGCTAAGTACCTTTAGGCCCATAGATTTTGTGACCACTAATGCTCATGAGATCAATTTTCATGTCGTTGACATCAACTGGGATTTTGCCAACAGCTTGGGCTGCATCAGTATGGAAATACACCTTTCTGGAACTGCATATCTGTCCTGAGAAAACAACAGAGAAGACATATAGCACAGTATTGGGAAGTAACCTGGCTGTGGTCCCATAATGCATCAATTGTCTTGACGCATAGTAAATGACTTGGTTAATATATGGCAAATCTTCTCCCATTTCCTGTCTCCCTTCATCCCTAATCTTTATCCACTCCTTATCCATACCTCCCTTCCCCCCTCGCCCCCCCACCTCTCCGTACCCTTCCCTCTCAGCTTTTAAAAGATCAAGGGCAAGTCAAATGTCAGTAGTTCACACCTATAATCCTAGCTACTTAGGAGGTTGAGATCTGAGGATGGAGGTGCAAAGCCAGCCTGGGCAGGAAAGACCGTGAGACTTTATCTCTAAATAACACCAGAAAACCAGAAGTGATGCTGTGGCTCAAGTGGTAGAACACTAGCCATGAGCTTAAGAGCTCAGTGACGGCATACAGGCCCAGAGTTCAAGCTCCACAACCATAACCTCTCCCCACCAAAAAAAAAGATCAAGGACAAAACACCAAATAAATATTCTGATGCATAATCTTCTTACTACATCATTAACACTGGTCTTTCAATATGTCACATTCTGACTTAAAAGAAGGAAAGAGTAATAGATCTTTGGGTAATAATCCATAAAGAGTGAAGATAATAAGGAAAAGTTCTAAATGAGAAGTAGAATGATAAAGGTCTTTTTTTTTCTTTTTGTCAGTGTGGGCACTGTCCCTGTGCACTTTTGCTCAAGACTAATCACCTTCAGCCACAGCGCCACTTCCAGTTTTCTGGTGGTTTATTCAAGATAAGAGTCTCATGGACTTTCCTGCCTGGGCTGGCTTTAACCATGATCCTCAGATTTCAGCCTCCTGAGTAGCTAGGATTACAGACATGAGCCCACCAGTGCCTGGCTGATAAAGGACTTTTTATTGTTTTACAGTTTTTGACATTAACTTCAATCAAAACACAAGAACATAAAGGGCACTAGACCTGGATTCAAATACTGCCTGTGCCACTCATGTCAAAGAAAAAGGTAGTTTAGCAATCCTCCCCTTGATTTCCTCACTGTATCATCATCATACAGGTTAGAAAACCCGTCTACCCCTGCTCCTGAAGATGAACCCCAGGGTCAGAATTAACTCATGATACCTACCTATTTCAGCAATTGGCTGTTTCACTCCAATCTCATTATTCACAGTCATAACCGAGACCAGGCTAGTATCTGGCTGAATGGCAGCCTCTAGTTCCTAAAAAGAGGAAGAAACCAGAATACAGGCAACTTTACTACTGAAAAGAGGCCTTTTACTGCACCTTTATCAGAATAGTTAAAATAGCAGGGAACTAGGCTGTAAGTCACAGGGAGAGTATTTGCCTAGTATGTATAAAACCACAGACATGCCAGGCGCCGGTGGCTCTCACCTGTAATCCTAGCTATTTAGGAGGCTGAGATCTGAGGATCACAGTTCAAAGCCAGCTGGGGCAGGAAAGTCCGTGAGACTCTTATTTCCAATAAACCACTAGAAAACCAGAAGTGGCACTGTGGCTCAAGTGGTAGAGCGCTCGCCTTGAGCTAAAGAGCGCAGGGACACCACCCAAGCCCAGAGTTCAAGCCCCACAACTGACTAAAACAAACAAACAAAAAAACCCACATACTTGGGCTGGGAAGGTGGCTCAGTGGTAGAGTGCTTGCCTTGCATGCTTGAGGCCCTGGGTTCGATTCCTAAGCACCACATAAGCAAAAAGAAAAAAGCCGGAAGTGGCGCTGTGGCTCAAGTGGTAGAGCGCTAGCCTTGAGCTGAAGAGCTGAGGGACAGCGACCAGGTCCAGAGTTCAGGCCCAGGACTGGACCCAAAAAAAAAAAAAAAAAGCCGGCGCTGGTGGCTCACGCCTGTAATCCTAGCTACTCAGGAGGCTGAGATCTGAGGATCGCGGTTCAAAGCCAGCCCGGGCAGGAGAGACCGTGAGACTCCTATCTCCAATAAACCACCAGAAAACCGGAAGTGGCGCTGTAGCTCAAGTGGTAGAGCGCTCGCCTTGAGCTGAAGAGCTGAGGGACAGCGCCCAGGCCCAGAGTTCAAGCCCCACGACCGACAAAAAAATAAAATAAAATAAAAAAAATAAAATAAAAAAACCCCACAGACTTAATCCCAACACTTCAAAAAGAAAGTGACAACCTAAAATGGTGGTAAGAATGCAGAGAAAGTAGGTTATTCATACATAGCTGGTAAGAATGTAAAATAGTAGGGTAATTTCTTTTTTATTTTTTATTTTTGGTAGTACTGTTTACTAACTGATAGGAATTAAACAAAATAAGCATCATGGTAGACATTTTAGTTTTTTCTTATTTGTGTGTATGCTGGTCCTAGGGCCTGCAATCAGGGCCTGGGCACTGTTCCTGAACTTCTTTCTCCACCCCCCCTCCCCCCACCCCCTTTCCAGGCTGGCACTTTATCTCTTGAGCCACAACTCCACTTCTGGCTTTTTGGGTAGTTTATTGGAGATGAGTCTCATGTACGGGCTGGGAAGGTGGCTCAGTGGTAGAGCACTTGCCTTGCATGTTCGAGGCCCTGGGTTCGATTCCTCAGCACCACATAAGAAAAAAGCCGGAAGTGGCGCTGTGGCTCAAGTGGTAGAGTGCTAGCCTTGAGCTGAAGAGCTGAGGGACAACACCCAGGCCCAGAGTTCAGGCCCCAGGACCGGACCCAAAAAAACAAAACAAAAGAGTCTCATGTACTTTCCTGCCCCGGCTGGCTTTGAACCATGATCCTCAGATATCAGCCTTCTGAGTAGCTAGGACTATAGGTGAGAGCCACCAGCACCCGGCTGAAACACATTTTTTTTTTAACTTCCAGAAAACAGTTTGATGATTCTCTAGGCTCTTTTGGATTGGTTTTTGCAGCATTAGGATTTGAACTCAGAGCTTTGAATTCCTTGGCAGATATTGTATTACTTAAGCCATTCTACTAGTTTCCACCTCTCCCCCCATTTTTTCTTTTTGTGCCAGTCCTGGGGCTAACTCAGTGTCTGGGTGTTATATATGAATTCTTTTTTTTTGCTCAAGGCTAGACTCCTACCACTAGAGCCAAAGCTCCAAAGCTTTTTTTGGTAACTAATGGGACATAAGAGTCTCCTAGACTTTCCTGCTTAAGCTGGTTTTGAAGTATGAGCCTCAGGTCTCAGACTCCTGAATAGCAAACATTACAGGCATGCATCCTGCCTAGCTTAGCCCCCTCCCACCTATTTTTAAAAACTATTTTTATTAACTTATTAATTAGTTGTATAATTGTAAGATTTCTATTCCTTCATACAATGTATCATGATCAAACTCAGTCCCTATAATCAGTCTCCCTTATGCCTTATTTCCCTTCTAAAATAATTTCAAACGGTTTCATTTTTCTTTTTTTTGGGGGGGGGGGGTCATTTTTCTATTTCCAAATTCCACCAGCATTTTTCTTTTTTTTTGGTCGGCCGTGGGGCTTGAACTCTGGGCCTGGGCACTGTCCCTTAGCTCTTCAGCTCAAGGCAAGCGCTCTACCACTTGAGCTACAGCGCCACTTCCGGTTTTCTGGTAGTTTATTGGAGATAGGAGTCTCACGGTCTCTCCTGCCCGGGCTGGCTTTGAACCGCGATCCTCAGATCTCAGTCTCCTGAGTAGCTAGGATTACAGGCGTGAGCCACCAGCGCCCAGCTAGCATTTTTCTTTTGTGTGTGTGTGTGTGTATGTGTGTGTGTGTATGTGAGAGGGAAAGAGAAACAGAGAGAGAAAGCGTGTATATGTGCGTGTGTTTGTGCTTGTACTGGGACTTGAACTCAGGGCCTTTCACTAGCACTCAGCTTTCTTGCTCAGAACTGGCACTCTACCACTTGAGCCACATCTTTGTTTTTGGTTTTTAGTTTTTTTTTTGGGGGGGGGGGGTCCGGTCATGGGGCCTGAACTCTGGGCCTGGGCGCTGTCCCTCAGCTCTTCAGCTCAAGGCTAGCGCTCTACCCCTTGAGCCACAGCACCACTTCTGGTTTTTTTCTTTTTGCTTATGTGGTGCAGAGGAATCGAACCCAGGCAGGGCCTCATGAATGCAAGGCAAGCGCTCTACCACTGAGCCACCTTCCCAGCCCCTTTAGTTGTTTTTTTGCTTTTGGTTTTTTTTTCCTGGCTAATTGGAGATAAAAGTGTCTCAGATTTGTCTGCTGGGTTGGTTTTGAACTATCATCCTTAGATCTCTGCTCGTGTTTTTCCACATATAGGATGTCAGGAGTCCACTACCATGTCCAGCCATTAGTAGTGATGGAGTGTGAATCCCTGACTTCCTGCACACATACCCAGCGCTCTTTTTTTTTTTTTTTCTGCTGATTGTGGGGCTTGGACTCAGGGCCTGGGCACTGTCTCTGAGCTGCTATTGCCTAAGGCTAGAGCTCAACCTTTACCACTGAGCTACCTTCCCAGCACCCGCACATCCCCCCCACCCCCCCAGCGGCTCTTATACAAACTAGGAAACACCCACCAAACTGAGAAACAATTCCTTTGGTGAAGAGAACAGTGCGCTTTTAAGCCTATGGAGAACATAATGTCTGCACATTCTATTTGTCTATACTCTATCCATACCATTATGTCAACCTTCAAGCCCCAGGTGAAGCTGAAGAGATAGACAGAAGCCAGACTTCTCCATTTTGTTTCTTTTCCAAGAGTCCTTCCTACCTTTAAGTTGATGATTCCAGTCTTCTGCACTGGGAGGTAGGTGACTCGAAAGCCTTCAGCTTCCAGTGAACGACAGGAATCCAAAACACATTTGTGCTCTGTCTGGGTGGTGATCAGGTGCTTTTTCCTTGACCTATAGAACCTGGCTACACCCTAAAAATTGGTAATCATGAAAAAAGCATACTCAGAGTTAGCAATGACATCAATCCCATTTATAAAGTTATTTATTTATTTATTTATTATGCTGGATGGATCTCAAGGCTTTACTCATACAATGTAAGAACTCTATCACTAAGATCTACTCCCAGCTCCCATCCCTTACCTTAATTGCTATATTGTTGGATTCAGTAGCTCCACTAGTGAAAATGATCTCACGAGGATCAGCTCCAATCAGAGAAGCTACTTGCTGAAAGTCAAGAAATAAAGATACATAAGATTAATTCCCCAGGCAAGAAAGGAGCTGCAAACAACTGGGGTAGATCTCTGCAGAAAGGAGAGCTCACTGCATTCCAATTGCCCATGAAGATACTCTGCATCTACTAGGTCTGGCTAGAATCATATGTGTAGGATATTATATTTTTTTTCTAATTTGCTTTATTGTTTTAGAGGTGATATACAGTGGGATTTCCTTTACATGCATCAGGTAATAAGTACATTTCCTTTCACACAGTATCATCGGTTCCTTCTTTCTCTCCCATCCCCTCCCTCCCATCTCCACCCATTAGTTGCGCAATTCATTTTAATCAACGCCTAGTGCAGCTAGTATGCTCCACTGCTGCACTGTTCCATCCTTTTCCCGATGATTCTGTGTCTTCCCCCATCCTCCCACAGATGCGCACATGAATACACTGTATATAAGGTAAAGAATAGTCATCAGAAAGCTGGGTGCTGGTGGCTCATTCCTGTAATCCTAGCTACTCAGGAGGCTGAGATCTGAGGATCACAGTTCAAAGCCAGCCTGGGCAGGAAAGTCCATGAGGCTCATCTCCAGTAAACCACCAGAAAACTAGAAGTGGCGCTGTGGCTCAAGCGGTTGAGCACTCGCCTTCAGTTGAAGAGCTGAGGAATAGTGCCCAAATCCAGAGTTCAAGCCCAGGACAAAAAAAAAAAAAAAGAAAAAAAACGGGCTGGGAAGGTGGCTCAGTGGTAGAGCGCTTGCCTTGCAAGCCTGAGGCCCTGGGTTCGATTCCTCAGCACCACATAAGCAAAAGAAAAAAAGCCGGAAGTGGCGTTGTGGCTCAAGTGGTAGAGTGCTAGCCTTGAGCTGAAGAGCTGAGGGACAGCGCCCAGGCCCAGAGTTCAGGCCCCACGACCAGACCCCCCCCAAAAAACAAAAACAAAATAAAAGAATAGTCATCAGAAAAAGAAAAAACAAATTAAAAAAAGTCCTTTATTTCCATATCTTTGGAGTTTGTTTCAGTGTGTGTGTATATATATATATATATATATATATATATATACATATATAAACACATATATATGTATATATATGCACACATATATGTATATGTATTTATTTATTTTTGCCAGTCCTGAACTCAGAGACTGGGCACTGTCCCTGAGCTTCTTTTGCTCAAGGCTAGTACTCTTAACACTTGAGCCAGGGTATCACTTCTGGCCTTTTCTGTTTATGTGGTACTGAGGAGTCAAACCCAGGGCTTCATACATGCTGGGCAAGCATTCTACCACTAAGCCACATTCCTAGCCTGGATATGATGGTTTTTAATGCATGTAAATATGCTATTTAACTTAATTCACCCTTTATAGAAGCCAAATGCCTAGTAACCTACCTCTATAAATCTATTTCAGAAATCTAAGGCCTAGTAACCTACCTCTATAAATCTATTTCAGAAATCTAAGATCTGAGGATTGCAGTTTGAAACCAGCTTTTGGCAGACAAATCCTTGAGACCTTATTTCCAATTAACCAGCAAAAAGCTGGCAGTGAATCTGTGGCTCAAGTGGTAGAGTGCCAGCCCTGAGGGCAAAGCTAAGGGACAACACCCAGGCCCTGAGTTCAAGCCCCACAACTGGCATACACACACACACACCCCTCAAAACCATATCCATCTCCACTCTGCACACCTCCTACCAAAAAGAATTCCTGCACAGGCCATTAAACCTCTGTTTTCCGAGCCTCCAACACTGTTCTGCACTAACCTCTCGAGCACGTTCCATAGCCGCCTCACTTTCCCAGCCGTAAGCATGAGTCCGGGAGTGTGGATTCCCATAGTAATGGATGAGGTAAGGGAGCATGGCATCCAGTACCCGAGGGTCCTGAGCAGATCAGAGTGCATCAGTCTCCTTGTGCTATAGGTCAAGTCAGACCCCACTCCCTCTCCCCAGACCTGCCAACCCTGCCTCAACACACTCCCAACTCTGCCAAGGTTAGGCTTTAAACATGCTTCTATACCCTCAGGAACTAACTACGATCAGCCTAATGTACTTCCAATCCCAAACCATCTGCAATCATGTTCTTCTACTAATCCCTCAGGTAGCTGATAAACATTGTGTTGTTCTGATAACTGTTTCTACTGTTCTTTCTATTCCTGCTAGGCAATGTGATTCAGGAGGGCCTGTGCAAATATCATTTCTCACACAGTGGTGAAAACGTGAGTTAATAGTAGATTAGGAATAGGGAGTCTAGGGGTATAGCTCAGTGGTAGAGTGTGTGGTTAGCAGGTACAAGGCCCCAGGTTCAGACTTCAACAAACAACAATAGTAATAAAACAATATCTATCATTTGCTAGGTTTCTTTCTTTATTTTTTTGGTCAGTCATGGGCCTGAACTCTAGGCCTGGGCGCTATCCCTCAGCTCTTCAGCTGAGCCACAGCGCCACTTCTGGCTTTTTCTGCTTATATGGTGTCGAGGAATTGAACCCAGCGCCTCATGCATGCAAGGAAAACACTCTACCACTGAGCCACCTTCCCAGCCCCAGGTTTTTATATCTTTTAATCCATTTAATACTCAATCAAGTTCATATAGTTACCAAGTATCAGCCCAGCTAATTCTAGAGCCCAGGCTTTTACTACTACTATACAGTGCCGGCATACTAAAAGTGATTTAAACAAGATCAAGATCAAGAGCTAATATGCAGTAAGGTTCAGTTGCAGTGAATTAAAACATAAACTTCCCTACTTTTAGTAGAATGTTCTTGCCCTCTTGCTAGCACACTCAACTGACTTCTACAGAGACTCTTTTTCTTTTTTTTTTTTTTTTGGTCGGTTATGGAGCCTGAACTCTGGGCCTGGGAGCTGTCCCTCACCTCTTCAGCTCAAGGCTAGCTCTCTACCACTTGAATCATAGCACCACTTCTGGCTTTTTCTGCTTTTGTGGTGCTGAGGAATCAAACACGGGGCCTCATGCATGCAAGGCAAGCACTCAACCACTGAGCTACCTTCCCAGCCCCACAGACTCTTTTTTGGAATTTTTTTGTTTCTTCAACTTCTTATAAACTGGTCTTCAACATCCTATAAACTGCCTGGGGAAAGCTGCCCCTCCATCCTTACCAAAGGAGTCGTAGCTTGCACATCCATATAGAGAGGTCGCAGAACTGACTCTGTCTCGGGGGCAGCAGCTGTGTCTGAGGGACTAGTAGACTGGGGGGCATGATCTACAACTGACAAGTCAATCATCAATCAATTAATTAACCAACCAACCAATCAGTCAAGTGAGTGGCCAAGTAAAAAATGATGCAACTATGGTCCACAGGTGACGGGAGACAGCAGCTCAAAGCTGGATAGAGGTGAGATGAGAAGTTTAAGGGACGTTGGGGTCGAGTCTCAAGGCAAGAGCAGAAAAACAAGAAACTCTCAAACAGGTGTAAAAGGAGATCAGGGGTCTTGGCCGGGGACGCTGGTGACAATGTGCACTCGAAGTGCAGTAAGGAGGGCTCTGAGACAAAGCTAAGTAGGAAAGCGGAGGTGGAAAAAACCCGAGATCTCCTTCCACGCTTCCTGACTGGATGGGACCTGGACCAGAGACTAGTAACAGCTGTCGGGGACCAGTCAGGCAGAGGAGACCCCGGGCTCTGGGGGCGTGGAGGGCCGGACGCTGAGGCAGAGGAAAGGTCCGCGTCTGCAGCGAGGGTGGCAGAAAGGGACTGGGAACGTACCGCGCAGGCGCAGTCCCCGGGTGGGGTCCGCAGGCCTCAGCCCCTGCACGGCGGCCACAGCCGGAGCTGCCCGCCTCCACGCGGTTCGAAGCAGCATGTTCCCAGGCCGCAGAGCCCACCACCTGAAGAAGCGACGATCGTCGGGCTCAGGCTCCGGAAGTAACCGCCTCGCGCCCCGGAAGTAATTCCTCGGGCCCCGAGTGTGCTCCGCCTTGCTTTCCGTGTGAGACGTGGAGCCGAGCGACCGAGGCCCAGAGCGAGGTGAGATGGGTGGGTGCCCCGCGCCCGGCGACGGCGGCGGCGGCGGCGGCGGCGGCGGCGGCTGCGGCTGCGCCGCGCGGCGACGGGTCTCGAATGCGAAGCAGGGGGTGGGGTCGGGCTACAGGCCGATATCCTTCCTGATTTCCCCGAACCCTTGGGCCCGCTCCGCACCCAGCCCGAATCCGAGCTTGGCTGGTGGGCCCTCACTTCCCTTTCCCTCGCTCCCCGCAGATGCCGGTGGCCGTGGGTCCCTACGGGCAGTCGCAGCCCAGCTGCTTCGACCGCGTGAAGATGGGCTTTGTTATGGGCTGCGCCGTGGGCATGGCGGCCGGAGCGCTCTTTGGCACCTTTTCCTGTCTCAGGTGAGGGTTGCAGTGGGGGTGATCTTTGGGTGGGACTTCCCAAAGCTTCTTCCCACTTCAGCCTGAGGTGAACCCACTGGCGAACTACTTTTAGGCCTGGGACTGCGGTGCTTAAGAATCTGCGGCTCTAGAGTCAAAATGGCTTTTGACCCTTCTACTAGTTGGGTGACTTTACGCAAGTCGGAGGCTGGATTTCAAGTGTAAAGCCACGGCGGTGGTAACACCTCCCTCCACACTTGTTAAGAATCAGACCGACTTGTTTTGCAAGGAATCTACGCAGTAAGTGCTCGTAACTACTTACTGTTGCAGCTGTCATTTTTACTTCCAACCGCATATAATGAAACAAATCAGTTCAGCTGTTTCTACTATTCTAGGAACAGGATGTTGGTACAAAGCAGGTAAACCCCTCCGAAACCTGGCATGGTGGCTGCAATCCGTTCATTTCACCTGTAATCCTAAAACGGGATGATCGGAGGTACTAGTTTGCTTTACAAAGCGGAGAACGGGTCTCCAAAGAGACAAAAGAAGAAACAGGAAAAATTCTTCTCAGGGTCATCTCACATTTGAAGTGTTCCAAGTTGTAAACTGCTATTTAACTAGCACTTATTGTTAAGAACTAACAATTGTTATGAAAACATTTCTGGCCGGGCGCCAGTGGCTCACGCCTGTAATCCTAGCTACTCTGGAGGCTGAGATCTGAGGATCACTGTTCAAAGCCAGCCAGGGCAGGATAGGCCGTGAAACTCTTATCTCCAATAAACCACTCGAAAACCGGAAGTGGGGCTGTGGCTCAAGTGGTAGAGCGCTATCCTTGACCTGAAGAGCTGAGGTACAGAGTCCAGGCCGAGAGTTCAAGCCCCACAACCGACCAAAAAAAAAATTTTTTTTTTTCTGTAAATACCATGCTCTCCATTTACATATGACACATATGACACATTGTATAAATTGCAGAGCTGGGTTTTGAACCCAGGTTCAACCCCGAAAATCAGTGTCATCATCTGGGAGCCTGTGGTTCATGCCTGAAATCCTAGGTATTCGGGAGGCTAAAATGTGAGGATAACAGTTTGAAGCCAACTCTGGCAGGAAAATCCATGAGACTCTAATCTGCAGTTTACTACCGTGAACCCAGAATTCGACATGTGGGTCAAGTTATTGTGCTGTTCCTTGAACAAAAAAGTTATAGGATGGTACCCAGATCCTGAGCTCTAAATAACTAATCTAATAATACCTTTGAAAAGATAAATGGCAGGCAAAGCAGCATGTTGGGACACATCTGTAATCCTAGCACTCTGGAGAGGAAAGCAGGAGAATATCAAATTTGAGGCCAATCTGGACTACCAAAGGAGTTAAGAGAGTAGCCTGAATGATACATAGTTAAGATGCTTGCCTCAAAAATAAAGGCAAGTTGAGCTGAGTGGCACACAATTGTACTCATATTCAGGAGGCTGAGCTCTCAAGATCGCAATTAAAAACTAGCCCAGGAAGGAAAGTCCATGAGACTCTTATCTCCAATGAAGTGCCAGAAAGTCAGAAGAGGAGCTGTGGCTCAAGTGGTAGAGTGCTAACATTGAACAAAAAAAAAACAACTCACAGACACTGCCCAGACCCCCTGTTCAAGCACTAGAATTACACACCCCTACCCCCACCAAAAAAGGGCAAGTATCTAATTGAATCACATATATCCTGGAAGCAAAATCAACCATAGAGCTGGCTGTCGGTGGCTCATGTATCTCCTAAGCTGCTCAAGAGGTTCAAAATGTGAGGATCAAGATTTGAAGTCAGCACAGGCAGTAATGTATGTGAGACTCTTAAACTCCAACTAAACAAAAGAGCTGGAAGTGGAGCTATGGATTAAGTGGTAGAGCACTAGTTTTGACAAAAAAATCAGGGACAGCACCCAGGCCCTGAGTTCAAGCCTTCCCCACCCCCCACCCCCACCTAGCACAAGCACAGAAAAAAGCCAATCACACAAATTGGTTTTCTGATTGGTGCCAGTGGCTCCTAGCTATTCAGGATGCTGAGATCTGAGGATCACAGTTCAAAGCCAGCCCAGGCAGGAAAGTCCATGAAACTTTTTTTTTTTTTGTCAGTCGTAGGGCTTGAACTCTGGGCCTAGGCGCTGTCCCTCAGCTCTTCAGCTCAAGGCGAGCGCTCTACCACTTAAGTCTCACGGTCTCTCCTGCCCGGGCTGGCTTTGAACCGCGATCCTCAGATCTCAGCCTCCTGAGTAGCTAGGATTACAGGCGTGAGCCACCAGCGCCCAGCTCCATGAAACTCTTATCTCCAATAAACCACTGAAAAACTGGAAGTAGCACTGTGGCTCAAGTGGTAGGGCGCTCTCCTTGCACTGAAGAGCTGAGGGGCAGCTCCCAGGCCGAGTTCAAAACCCATGACCAACAAAAAATAAATTAAAAATTAAAAATCCACCTGGTTTTCCTATGTATTTTCCACTGTTTCTGCCTCCTTCAAATGGCAGTTCATCAAAATGTACTTCAGGACCTTGATGGATCCTTTTCTTCTCATTGCCTATCCCAGAGATCACGACCAGCTAAGACAAATGAGAAAAAAGGCTTGCCAGATTTTAGTAGTATTGCTCATCATTACATGCACAGATTATAGAGTGGCAAACTTGATACTCTTCCTGTAATTTTGTTCCTATATGGCCCCATCTTGGTTTCCTCCTCAGGATTGGAATGCGGGGCCGGGAGCTGATGGGCGGCATTGGGAAAACCATGATGCAGAGTGGCGGCACCTTTGGCACATTCATGGCTATCGGAATGGGCATACGATGCTAACCAGGGCAGTAGTTGCCTGCTACATCTACACCTTCCCATCGGTCACAGCCCTTGTACTATAATAAAAAGAAGTTTTTGCTTCTCGTTTTGTCTCTTGTTATTCAGCTTTACCAAAGCTGCTGTAAATTTAAAGGATGTACTATTAAGTAGGTTTGGTACATTTCACTATAGAAATTTTGACGTACTTGGTGCCTTCCATACCAGCGGTGTCAATTTAACTTTGTAATTTGGTGCTATTATTGGTCTCTTGAAGGTATACTCAAAGGTAGAAGATGTCTTCAAGATCACACACTGCAAAACCTTTAGGAGCCAATGACACTGGCTCTATGATAATGCCAATACTACTTCGTTGTTTTGGAAGAAATTTTAAATTCTTTTTCTAATGTAATCATTTACCTCCTGAGGATATTCTGGCGTTGTGGCAAAATGTAAAACTGAAGCTACCATGAAACAGATTCATAGCACAAGCCACTACTTCTCAAATGGCTAAATCCCAGGTAACCATTTAACCACCCACTATGATGCAGATTGTACATCTCTAAAATTCTGTTCATCAGGTTGTTGGAAAATACATGGTAAGGACCCCACAGCATGCTGGGACATTCTAGTCTGTATTACTTCAGAATTGCTTGGTCACAACCTGCAAAATTGGCAGTATGATACACTGACAGATACAAGCAGGAATTAAGGGCACTATCAGAACATAGCTTTATTAACTACAGGTTTCCACTACCAGAGTAGAATGCTGTCTTAAGTACACTACACACACACACATATTAAAAAGATTAATATGCAGGTACTATCCTTTGGTACAGATCAAATACTGGACATCTTTTATGAAATTGCCAATTAAGTATGAATTGTTTTTTGGTCAGTTATGGGGCTTGAACTCAGCTTGGGTGCTGTCCCTGTGCTCTAAAGCTTAAGGGTAGCGCTCTACCACTTGACCCACAGCATCACTTCCGGTTTTCTGGTGGCTAACTGGAGATGAGTGTTTCTAGGACTTTCGTGCCTGGGTTGGCTTTGAACTGCAATGCTCAGATCTCAGCCTCCTGAGTAGCAAGGGCATTTTCAAACCACAGATTAAACAGGACCTGGTATAGTTTATGCAGGTAACATGGGATACCGAATACTTGATGCTTCAGAAAATGTGGCTTGAATGTGGTGTGGTTTTTCTAGGGTAGTAAAAAATCAGGAATTCCAGCACAACTGGGGTTACATACTGAGATACAATCTAATCCTGCTAACCAAGGACACAAGCAAAAAGGACAGAAACAAAAACTTGAATTTCAGGGGCTGGGAAGGTGGCTCAGCAGTAGAGTGCTTGCCTTGCATGCATGAGGCCCTGGATTCGATTCCTCAGCACCACATAAGCAAAAAAAAGCCGGAAGTGGTGCTGTGGCTCAAGTGGAAGAGCACTAGCTTTGAGCTGAAGAGCTGAGGGACAGCGCCCAGGCCCAGAGTTCAGACCCCATGACCGGACCCAAAAAAAGAACAAAATACAATAAAAAAAACTTGAATTTCACTAAGAGGCTGGGAGTGTGGCTTAGCTATATTATCTTGCATTAAGCCCTGGGTTCCATTCTTCAGTACCACATAAATAGAAAAGGCTGGATGTGGTGCTATGGCTCAATTGGCCCTGAATTCAAACCTCAGGACTGGCAAAAAAAAATTTTTTTTCCACTAGGATATTGTCTTCTAAAAAATCTGAACAATTTCCTTGGGGGGGGGGTCGGTCACAGGGCTTGGACTCAAGGCGAGCACTCTATGGCTTGAGCTACAGTGCCACTTCTGCTTTTCTAGTGGTTTATTGGAGATGAGTCTCTCCTGGCAGGCTTTGAACCTTGATCCTCAGATCTCAGTCTCCTTAGTAGGATTACAGTGAGCCACCGGCACCCAGCTGTGAACAATTACACTTATTTTCCATTAATGACAGAAAGCAGAGCTGTAGCACAAGTGGTAGAGCACTAGCCTTGAGTACAAAAGGCCCAGACAGTTCCAATGAAGAGAATTAAAACACCAGAACCAGAAACAAAAATTAAGCTAGGATACTTCCTGTGAAAACTTGCTGCCCACTACAAAAACCTGAAATCCCTTATCTCCAATAAACCACCAGAAAACCGGAAGTAGCACTGTGGCTCAAGCAATAGAGAGCTCGCCTTAGCTGAAGAGCACAGGGACAGTGCCCGAGCCCAGAGTTCAAGCCCCAAGACTGACCAAAAAAAAAAAAAAAAAAAACTAAAGTAGCAGAAAGCCAAAAGTAGGGTGGCTTATTTGGTAGAGTGCCAGCAGTGAGCAAAAAAGAAAAGCTAAAAAGTGTACCAGGACCAGAACACACCACAGGTTTGAATAAACTGAGTAGTGGTGTATGCAGAGAAAAAGTACAAACTTAAATGTGTTTTTATCCATATTGGAGCTTGAACCCAGGCCCTGACACTTACATGGTAAGTACTGTATTACTTTTAAGATTCCAGCCCTTGCTTGGTTTTCCCCTAAATTTATTATCAATAATCTAATCTGTTATAATGAGTATAATGTAATAGCTAATACCCAGATGGACATGGTATTGTATGCCAATAATATAAGTACTGAGGAGATTAATAAAATCAAGGCCGGGCAGACCTACATGAGATTATAATAACTACTTTTAAAATAATTTCTATGACTTAAAAACTTGAAAAATGAAGCTTTCTTATGGCCTTTTTAAGAGAATTTTATTTGAGTGGTTCTTACAAAGATTGTTGCAATATGAAAGTCATTTGATAGAAATATCAAGCTGTCTTGTCAAACACACTGAATTAACCCAAAAATATATTTCAGAGCTCACAGAGCTTAAAAAGAGCAAAGATTATATATATATATATGAAACCAGACAAAACCTATTTCTGCATTTCCCACTTGTTGCTTGAGTGCCTTGCTTCACAAACTTATTAAATACCTTCAGGAAATGCAGTTATTATTTTGTTTGGAATCTTAAAGACACACCAGAACACACAGTATTTACAAAGAAACTTTTACAGGTACATTTAACTAAAAAGTTACCATCAAGAAATATAATTGTGAAATCTCCCTTTCTTGCTCCAGATGATCAGTATGCAAGATGAGATGCTCGCCAAACAGCTGCTTAGCTATCTTAATTTCCATACACTTAAATGTGTATTTCAGACACTGTTGATAAATCATGAGCCAAATATCAAAATTAGTGAAATGTGAAGTGTAACTGTTGTGTAAAAAGTTAAGACTCCTAAAACAATAAAAAAATTACTTATCTGTCTGACTTGACAGAATGTACATTTGTTCCTCCTAGAACTATTTCTATAGATCCTTAATGTAATTTTTCTACATGAACATTTTAAAAGGCAGAACAAGAGAACAACTTGGCATACAGTGGGATATGCTAGTTAGGGAGAATGAGCACACTGTATTCCTGTTAACATTTTTATTTTTTTCAAAGTAACAGGAATTGTATACAAATGACAGTAGACCCTTGCCTCTTTATTTTTATCTAAATAAAAGATAACTCAGGATGAATTCTCAAGAAAAAAAAAGCTATGTACATAAGGGACTATATCTTCCTTCATCGTCTACTTGGAACCAGTAGTTGTGTTGCTGTCATAGAATCAGGGAACAGGTTGTGGTAAGTTGGAAGAGGTACATATGCTGCTGTTATCATTTTACCTGTTGAAATAAAAAGATGTTGTTATGCTTAGTGTTTTGAGTAGTATTGAAAATTAAATCACTTAAAATAAAAACAAAACTCACCAGCAAACCACCTGCCATGCAATGCATTAACAGCAGCAATAGCTGCAGCAATTGATGGGCACTTCACATACACGTTGCCCTAAAGTACAAAAACAAAACAAAATAAATGTAATGACTCACTCAAGATAACCAAAGAAATAACTAAGTAATGCATTACCATAAAGTATCTGAATGCTTCTAATTCCAACAAGCAAAATGAATACTTAGCATGTGGAAGACGCTGGAAATACTTTCATTTAGAAATTATGTTGCAGTGTATATTAGGTCAGTATATTAAGGCAAATTGTAGAACAGGAATGGTTGACAGATGCTGTAATCCTGCATTTTGGGCTAAATCAATAGAATATTGAAAACTAGCATGGCATGGACAACCTACTGATATGATGTTTCTCCTTGAAAAGAACCATCATCATATAACGTACCTTAATTATGTAATGATCAAACCCATGGATTAATGACTCACTTTAATACTGGATGTTCAAGAGGCTGAGATTCTAAGATCAAAATTTAAACTAGCTCTGGCAAGAAGGACCACAATGTGCTATCCAATATAACCACCAAATAAGCCAGAAGTGGAGTTGTGGCTCATGTGGTAGAGTGCCATCCTTGAACAAAATGCCTTAAGGATGATACCAGGCCCTTACTTTCACCCACATAAAAATTGGTATTCCAAAAACTTAGATTCAAGCATCACTTTTCAAAGCCAGCCAGGAAAGGAAATACTGTAAGACTCTTCTCTTAAAATTAACTACCAGATGGGGCTGGGAAGGTAGCTCAGCGGTTGAGTGCATGCCTTGCAAGCATGAGGCCCTGGGTTCGATTCCTCAGCACCATATAAACAGAAAAAGCCGGAAGTGGCACTGTGGCTCCAGTGGTAGAGCACTAGCCTTGAGCTGAAGAGCTGAGGGACAGCGCCCAGACCCAGAGTTCAGGTCCCATGACTGGCAAAAAAAAAAAAAAATTAACTACTAGAAAACTCAAAATGAATTCGGCTCAAAGTGGTAGAGTGCTAGTCTTTTTTATTTTTTTTGGGTCTGGGCATGGGCGCTGTCCCTCAGCTCTTCAGCTCAAGGTTAGCGCTCTACCACTGGAGCCACAGAGCCACGTCCTGCTTTTTTCTTTTTGCTTATATGGTGCTGAGGAATCGAACCCAGAGCCTCATGCATGCAAGGCAAGCGCTCTACCACTGCGACACCTTCCCAGCCCTGATATGATTACTGCTAGTCTTGAAGGAAAAAGCTCAAGGACAAGAGTCCAGTCTCTGAATTCAAGCCCCATGACTAATCCAAAAAACAAAAATGTGGCTTAGTAGTAGGGAGAGTACTTGCCTTGCACGCATGAAGACCTGGGTTCAATTCCTCAGTACCACATAAAGAGAAAAAGCCAAAGTGGTGCTACTGTAGCACAAGTGGTAAAGTACCGGTCTTGAGTGAAAGAAGCTCACATTAAAGAAAAAAAAACAAAAAATACCCCACCAAATATGTAAAAATAAGAAACTAAACGGAGCAATATTCTACCACTGTTACTTTAAAAATCAAAATACCTGAGCTGAATTTTTGTCGACATAAATATGAATAACACCTCCATGTTTATTACATTCTTCAATCACATCATCTTTGATCTCTGTATCCCATCCAACTTCTTCTTCTCTGTAAAAAACAAATTTTAAAGTCCTGTAAATAGTATACAAACAGTAAAAAAACAAACAAACACTATGCAATTAGTAAAATTTTCTTTCTTTTTGGGTTCATCGTGGGACCTGAACTCTGGGCATGGGTGGGCACTGTCACTGAGCTCTTCAGCTGAAGTGGAGTGGCTTTACTGCTTAAGCCACTTCCACTTCCAGCTTTTCAGGAGATTGACTGGAGTCTCCTATATACTTTCCTGCCCTTGCTGGTTTTGGACTGCAGTCCTCAGATCTCAGCCTCCTGAGTAGCTAGGATTATAGGCATGAACCGCTGGCACCCAGCTCCCAACATTTTTTGGGGGGGAGGGCAGGTGGAGGGAGGCAGTACTGGGGCTTGAGCTCAGGGCCAAAGGCCTTTCTCTGAGCTTTTTTTGTTCAAGGATAGCACTCTTACTACTTAAAGCACCATTTCTAGCTTTTTCTGTTGATGTGGTGCTGAGGAATCAAACCCAGGGCTTCATGCATGCTAGGCAAGCACTGTACCACTAAACCACATTCCCAGTACCCCACCCTTCCTTCTGTTGTCGAAAGCCATGGTGGCACACACATGCAAACCCAGGTCAGCTGGATGATGGTTAATGAAATAGAATAAGGGAAGATGGGGTAAGTAGTTTCGTTTTCCCATCTTAAAACTTTGCAGGCTCCAGGCTTGGCTCAAAGCCTATAAAATGCCAGCCTTGCAAATAAGAGATAAATTAGATTATTACAAGGTCCAATGTGTACTTAAGCATACTTACGTTTGAGGATTAAACATGTTAGACAGCTGGAAACATTGTGTTGCAAGTGGTTGGACAGAAGCGGCTGCAGCTAAAGCTGAAGCTTAAAAAAAAAAAAACACGGAGAAATTAGTTTCATGTTAAATGTGTTGAAATGTTAAAACCTAATCCCCACACCCTTAAGGTTTATGGGTATGACTACATCATCTTAAAATTTTTTATTTTCTGTAATAAGAAAATAACCCACTTAACTAATATACCTTTCCCTCAATCTCTCACCCCTCTCTTTGGGATCAGGAGTGGGGACTAAACTCAGTAACTCACACTCATTTTGCTTTGCTGCTCAAGGCTGGCAACTTGAGCCACAGCTCTATTTATGGCTTTCTGCTGGGTAATTGGACAGCCTGAAATTTTACAAGCTGAAATCTTTAAATCTCATTTTCTGAATATAAGTAATATCCCTCTTAACACTATGTTAAAGGACTCAGCCACTAAATCATATCTAGAATAATTATGTAATACCCAATATAATGTAAGCTCTATAAGTAGCTGTTACATTATTCAGTTCAAGTAAAAATGATTGCACAGGCAAGGTATATATGAAATTTCCCAGGTCCCACCATTTTCAATCTATAATTATGTGAATACTCAGATATGAAACATATGGGCAGAGGGCTGACAAAGATAATTTCAAGGTTGATTTTTCATAGGAGAGCTAGAATTTATACTGCATTAACAGAAATAAAACTGTCATTTTCTAGACTAAATAAATCTATACCTCCCTATTTCTTGGTTTCTGCACATGAATACATACTTTCTGTTAAAAGATTATCTCTTACCAAAATAGGAAAATACTGAAAAGACTAGCTTATGTAATTAAGATAATTTAAAAACACCAGCCACTGTAATACACAAATAAAAAGCACATACATGTTTTAAGAATGAAGTTAAGAGTACTTTAAAAAATAGGTGCTCCATGCTTTTATGGGACTTACAAAAGCATTACCAGTAGCTGTTACAGAACTCACCGTAATCATATTATCTGACCAAATTTCTTTCCAATGCATAACAAACAATGCTAAGGATAAAACAATGCATTAAGAAAGGTAACAAAAATCAACAATTATCTGAGGAAGTATGAGATACATTCCAGTAAACAAAAATTAGGGCTATACATAAGACACCTTTAAAAAGACTAATTGTTTCTGGTTAAACTATGTATGTTACTTTCCTTCAAGTACTTTTCTTTCACAGAGCTTCATTTACAATAATGAAGGTTTTTCCTTATGTTTCCTTCAAAGCATAAATACTTTCATGTTAATTAAAAGTATTTTTTTAAAAAAGCTGATGTCAAATTCTACTGGAGAAAAGAACCTCAGAACAGTGCTACAATAGGGTGGAAAATCTTATAAGCCTAAAAGTAGTCTGGGCAATGTAACAAAAATGGATTTTCAAAAAAAAAAAAAAAAAAAAAAGTCAAGACTATTTTCATTATACTTTAAAAAGCTAAAAACAGAAAGGGCTTAACCTATAAATTATCTAAAATTAACTTAGATAAGAAAAATATTAGAAAACTTACTAAAAACAAAAAACAATTCAATATATATCACATGCAGTATATAACAAAAATACCTTTCTACCTCGAAAAAAATTTGTTAGGAGTGCATGGTTTTCATTTATGGGAAGACTTACAAATGTATTTAATACTTATCACCAAGGACAAAGAAATCACAGGTTAAACAATAAACATTAAGAAAAAGAAGGTACCCAATTTGAATAGGAAATTACTACGTGGCCAAAGGGTAGACATTTGATCATTTAAACTAAGAAATTATGGCTAAGTAAAGCATGCAATATAGACTTAAACCTACTTCTAGTCTTAGCTCAAGCTCGTACTAATCATCATTATCAGAATACAAATTCTAAACAAAAATTGATGAATGTGTCTATGTGTGTTGTCCTAGTAGCAGGTCTTGAACACAATGCCTCCCATGCATGATCAACAAGTTTTCTGACTACATCTCAATCCTGACCCTAAGCCTTTTCATTTAAACGTAGCACTCTACCACTTTGAACCACAATACCAATTCTGGTTTTCTACTAATTAACTGGAGATAAGAGTCTCACAGACTTTCCTGCCCAGGCTGGCTTTGAACTGAGATCTTCGTATCTCAGCCTCCTGAGCATTTAGGATCATAGGTGTGAGCCACCCGCACCTTGCTTGATTTCTTTTTGAAAGTAAATTTTATTTTTCTTTATATAAAATCGTAAGAGCAGTCAAAGCATGAATATTTAACGATATAGGGCTTAATGGTTTTGAAGTGCTAAGGATAGGATTAATCCAGCCAGCTAGGCCAGGCCTCACATGTACCACTGACCTAAAAGCCCCCAGTGGAAAGCTAGAAACTAAGAGAAAACCAAGCACAGACATTTTCATTTCTCCATTAATGTACTAAGTTAGGTGCTCAGAAATAGATTACTCTCTGTAAACCAGTATGTCTCAATCTGGCATTTGATCCAAACCATTTTACCAAATAAGATAAAGTAACTAAGCCTTAACTACATTTAATTCTAATTCAAAGGAAAAAAAAAAAGTTACACTCACCTTCAGTCTGTTGTGAAAGTCGTGTTTGCAAATCTATAACAAAAGAGAATTCTACAGCTCAGTGCAGGAACAATGAAGAGCCTCAACTAACAGGGTAAATGTCAGTAAAGCATTAATAAAAAGAGGACTACAACAGCAGGGTTTATTGAAATAAGCTTAGTAACAATACCTGGCAGCAAAACCTCCTTCCCCATTCCTCATTGAAAAGGCTTTGGAGCCTTTTTATTCCTAGTGCCCTAGAAAATTTACACCTTTCTTCCTATTCCTACTATACTTATCTCACATACATTCCACAATAATAGCAAGTCTTCTGTTGGGAATAATGGGAAATGGGGAAAGGGGAGCATACCGGTCAAAAATGTGTGAAAAACCCTGATCTTGAGAATTCAATTCCAAGTACTTAGAAATTTGAGCTTTTATTTATTAAACAGTGGCAGTATTTAACACCAGAATTTTGAAACAATATACACCAAAAAGCTGTAAACATGCTCAATAGGAGCCAAATTAGCAAGAATATCACTATTATAAAACAGTATTTTTCAAATTGTGTATCAGATCTAAATTTAAGGCTGGCATAAAAATTGACAATATGACTTCAATAATATTAATTGAAGGCTTTGTGTACTAAACTGAAATTTTAATAAAAAAAATATAGACTATTAATATGTTTTATATACCCTAATTGAAATATAAACATCAGACATTACGAAAAGTAAAAGAAACTTTTGGGGATATGCTTTGAAACACAAGTGTCCACATTTCTACAGTGAAGGTATTTTGTCAATCAGCAAGAAGGCTAACTAGCAGGGGGATTTTATTAATGTAAGACTATCTGGCATTAAAATGTCAGAAAACAGTATGTAGGAAATGCTTCCTATTAGTAACCTATCATCAAATGCAAAAGACTATTAATTTATATGGACTTTTACTTGCTCAAAATTGGCATCTCAGAAAGCTGAAGAAAATAAGTGGTATATACTGAAGGAACTTGAAGATATGACCATAGGAACACTGTCAATAAAAGTTAATTATAACAGATTGTCATTTTTCCCAAAAAGGGGAAAATGTATAGATAACAGAAATCCATGCTATAAAATGTGTATCTCAATCCCAATTACAAATGCAAATATCATTCTGTAAACCATTTCTGACAAATCAGGAAACAGAGCATGGGTTTCAGAAAATAAGGATTCTAGCTCTATGCTGGTAACTGACACGAGTAATCCTCCATAAGACTTTTATCTCGGGGCTGGGAAGGTGGCTCAGTGGTAGAGTGCTTGCCTTGCATGCTCGAGGCCCTGGGTTCAATTCTTCAGCACCATATAAGCAAAAAGAAAAAAGCCGGAAAGGGCTGAGAAGATGGCTCAGTGGTAGAGCCCTTGCCTTGCATGCCTGAGGCCCTGGGTTCGATTTCTCAGCACCACATAAGCAAAATAAAAAAAGCCAGAAGTGGTGCTGTGGCTCAAGTGGTAGAGCGCTAGCCTTGAGCTGAAGAGCTGAGGGACAGCGCCCAGGGCCCAGAGTTCAGGCCCCAGGACTGGACCCAAAAAAAAAAAAGACTTTTATCTCCAGTTAACCACAAAAAAGCTATAAGTGGATCTGTGACTCAGGTGGTACAGCGCTAGCTTGAGCAAAAAACCTTAGAGAGAGCACCTACCTCTTAATCTTCCAGCCTCAAGACAGGGACAGAAAATAAATATAACATGCTTTTCTGCCCACACCTCTAGTCTGGCTTTTTGCTACTATATTGGAGGTAAAGAGTTTAGGGGATTTTTCTGTTCAGGCTAGATTCAAATTGTAATCCACAGGGCTAGGAAGGTGGCTCAGTGGTAGCGCACTTGCCTTGCATGCATGAGGTCCTGGGTCCAATTCCTTAGCACCACATAAGCAGAAAAAAAAAGCTAGAAGTGGCGATGTGGTTCAAGTGGTAGAGCGCTAGCCTTGAGCTAAAGAGCTGAGGGATAGCACTCAGGCCCTGAGTTCAGGCCCCAGGACCGGACCCCTCCCCCCACCCCCCCAAAAAATTGTAATCCTCAGATCTGATCTTCTGAGTAGCTAGGAGTACCACCAGCACCCAAGTTCCATAAAAAGTTTTAATGATGATCACCTAGACAAAACATCTAATTACAAATATTTACCTTAAAGTGTTGCATATCAACAAAAACTTAAGTATTGATTATTAGCTCAGTACCAATGTCAGTCTGAAAAAGAAACAAAAAAACACCTCATCTTTTTGTGTTTGTTTGGCCAGTCCTGGGTCTTGAACTCAGGGCCCAGGCACTGTCCATGAGCATCTCTCTACGTAAGGCTAGTACTCTACCAGTTGAGCCACAGTGCCACTTCTGGCCTTTCCTGCTTATGTGGTACTGAGAAATCAACCCCAGAACTTCATGCTAGGACAACATTCTACCAATAAGGCATTTCCAGCCCAGCAACCCATTTTAATAAATAGAAAGAAAGCCGGGTGGCTGTAGCTCACGCCTGTAATTCTAGCTACTCAGGAGACTGAGATCTGAGGACTGTGGTTCAAAGCCAGCCCAGGCAGGAAAGTCCAAAAGACTATCATTTCCAATAAACCACTAGAAAACCAGAAGTGCCACTGTGGCTCAAGTCGTAGAGCGCTAGCCTTGCTGAAGAGCACAGGAACAGGGCCCAAGCCCAGAGTTCAAGCCCAAGGACAAAAAAAAAAGAAGAGAAAAAAAAAAAAAAGAAAGGAAACGTAAACAGTATGTAAGATTACTAAACAGATTAGTAGATATGGATATAAACAATTTTATCACAACTAGCCAAGCTTAACAAGCTTAACTACACAATGAGTACCCAGGGAGTTACAGTAGTTCACCAAGGAAAAATAAAGAGATACTGGTAGTGATAATACTTAACATTAAAAAAAGTTCAATTGGGTAATATTTTGTTGTTGTTGGTTGTGGAACTAGAACTCAGGGCCTGGGCATTGTTCCTGAATGTCCGAATGTTAGAGCATTATCCTACATCAAAAAATCTAGGGACTGGGAAGGTGGCTCAGTTGTAGAGTGCTTCCCTTGCATGCCCTGGGTTCGATTCCTCAGCACCACATATAAGGAGAAAAAGCAAAACAAGCTGGAAGTGGCAGTGTGGCTCAAGTAGTAGAGTGCTAGCCTTGGGCTAAAGAGCTGAGGGACAGGGCCCAGGCCCAGAGAGTTCAGGCCCCTTGACATACAAAAAAAAATAAAAAACAAAAAATAAATGGGCTGGGAAGATGGCTTAGTGGTAGAGCGCTTACCTTGCATGCATGAGGCTCTGGGTTCGATTCCTCAGCACCACATAAGCAAAAAGAAAAAAAGCCAGAAGTGGTGCTATGGCTCAAGTGGCAGAGTGCTAGCCTTGAGCTGAAGAGCTGAGGGACAGCACCCAGGCCTAGAGTTCAGGCCCCATGACCGGACCCAGGGGAAAAAAAAAACAAAAACAAAAAAACCAGGTCCCAGGTTTAAACCTCATTACAGAGACACATATATACACACACAAAAAAACACATTTTAGTTATCTGATTTACAACTGTTAAAAAAAAAAAAAGGGCGGAGACCAGTGGCCCAGGCCTATATAAAGCCTATGGACTCAGGAAGATGGGATTTGAGATCATAGTTCCAAAAGCCAGCCTGAACAAGAAAGACCCAAGGACTTTTTTTTGGCCAGTCCTAGAGCTTGAACTCAGGGCATGGGCCCTCTTAACTGAGCTTCTGTGATCAACACTAGCACTCTACCATTTGAGCCATAGTGACACTTCCAGCCTTTTCTATTTATGTGGTATTAAAGAATCAAACCCAGGAGTTCATGAATGCTAAGCAAGCACTCTACCAATAAGCCAGATTCCCACCCCTCTAAGACTTACCCCTAACCACAAAATTCCAAAGCAGAATTATGGGCCAACTGGCAGAGGATTATCCTTGAGAAAATAAGGGTCCGGAACTAGAACAAAAAGGGGGGGCTGGGACGGTGTCTCAGTGGTAGAGTGCTTGCCTTGCATACATGAGCCCTGGGTCCATTCCTCAGCACCACTTAAACAGAAAAGGCCAGAAGTGGTGCTGTGACTCAAGTGGTAGAACACTAGGCTTGCACTGAAGAGCTGAGGAACAGCTCCCAGGCCTAGAGTTCAAGGCCTCACGAATGACCACCCCCCCCCAAAAAAAAAAAAAGAAAAGAAAAAAAGAAAACCCAGGTTGGTGCCAGTGACTCATACCGGACCTTGGTTCAAAGCCAGACTAGGCAGAAAATGAGTTGTGCTTGTGCGGTGAGACCTCCTTACCTAGTTAGGGAGACCATTACAAGCTTATCCTCCCCTAGTCCTGCTGTGACTAGATGGAGACTATTGCTGTCTGGTAACACTTGAGGGTGTCAGAGATACACTGGGGACTTGCAATAAAATGTCAATTAATTGCCCCTTGGTCTAAATCTCGCAGCTCATCCTCAATTCAAATTTTCATTTACTATTCAGAAAACAAGTATTATCTGTCATCTTACTCTGGCAGTAAAGATAAAGAGATTCTGAATGTTTTCTGAAAATTTATTACTAAAACCTTATTTAATGAATCCTAAGTAAGAATATTCAGATACTATCAATTTCAACTAAAAGTTGAATGTAGGATTTAATAATACCCTGACATCTTATCCTAGTTAGCAAATAATTTTATCTTAAAGCTAAACTTCCTTATGTGAATTATGGAAATTTTTATCCTAAAAGTACTTGATGAATTGAATTCTCAGTTAGTCCTTTTAAATGGAGAAATTTGGCATATTTTCGAATTAGATGAAAAAAAAACAACGATTTCAAATTAGAAAAGATTCAATTCCTACCTGCCACAGCACCAAATGCCAAAGAGCCACTCATTTGTAAAGCTTGCTGTGCTGCTGGTGGAATCTGCAAACCTGTGCCTGTAAAAGAATAGATCTTGAAGTCCTTAATAGGTGAGAATGGAAAAATTAATTTTGTAGATTACTACTTGAGTCACACTTCACTAGAAGAGATCACAGATGAGGACAAAGAATTGCAATACCTGCAAACAATTTTATTCCCAAGTATGTTCATGAAGCAAATCTAAATCTAATTTGTCTTATGCTGTCAAGTAAAATAGGATATAATATAGATTCCATTGAGAGCTGATTGCAAGGTATTACTAGGAAAAAACTTACCCTCTGCAAGTCTTGCCATTAATTGGAGACGACCAGTTGTTCCCAAATCAATTCCAGTCCTTTCCAGTTCATCACTATCCAAAAATGAACTAGCACTAGAAGCATCAGTTCGTTCAGTAACATGACCAACTTTCATTGGCCTTCCTGCTAGTTCAAATCCATTAAGTTGTTCCAAAGCCTTTTTGGCACACTCTGAGTCTGAAAACTAAGGATAGGAATACAATATATAAATAGTTAATTTAACTAATCCCATAAGAAAGATTTGACTCTTATGTTCTATTGTCCAGGAACATGGCTCAAAAACAAACATGAGTGTAAGTTCCCCACCCTCATCCCAATTAAAGAATCATGCATGGCGTGTTGCCAAACATCCAAGCTTTGTGAAAGATCCACAGGTAGGGGAAATGCTGACTCTGCCAAGACAAAAACAAACCCCTATGCACAAAAGGTCTGGTGGTAAACCATTTACCTAGCAAGGGAAAGCAAAGGGCATAATACATTATACACACAGCTATAATTCATAAAAACTGAAGATTTGTTGTTAGTAGTTTCAAAAAAATTTTCTTTTTTGTTGGTCATGGGGCTTGAACTCTGGGCCTGGGTGCTGTCCCTCATTTATTGAGCTCAAGGCTACCACTGTACCACTTGAGCCACAGTGCCACTTCTGGTTTTCTGAGTGGTTTATGGGAGATAAAGAGTTTCACAGCCTTTCCTGCCCAAGCTGGCTTTCAACTGTGATGCTCTGACCTCAGCCTTCTGAGTAAATAGGATTATAGGCATGATCCAACTGCAACCAGGTTTAAAAAAAAAAAAAATCAGAAACAAAAAATTTGATGGGAATGCTTATGCGTGCAAACCTAGTACTCATGAATTGGAGATCTGAAGATGGCAGCTTGAAGTCAGTACAGGCAGGAAAATATGAGAAAAAAAAAACAAACCTAGAAGTAATGCTGAGACTCAAAGTTGTATAATGCTAGCCTTGACCACAAAAGCTTAGGGACAGGGCTCAGGCCCTTTATTCAATCGCCATAACCAGAAGGGTTAAAAAATTAAAAGAAAAGAAAAGAAAAGAAAAAAGCCAGGCACCTGTCTAATGCTCGTAATCTTATTCAAGAGGATGAGATCTGGGGATCATGATCCAACACCAACCTAGGCAAGTTAAGTCCATGAAACTCATCTCCAATTACCATCAGGAAACCAAAGTGGCACTGTGCCTTAAACAAAAAAAGCACTAGCATTAAACAAAAAGAACTCAGGGACAGGTTCCAGGCCATAAATTCAAGCCCCGTAAGGGACCAAAAAAAGAAATACACAAAAACTTGGTAGAGGTCTGGGAATTTTGCTTAGTAGTACACTGCTTGCCTAGCATGTGTGAAGCCGTGGGTTCAATTCCTTAGTGCCACATAACCAGAATTTGCACTGTGACTCAAGTGGTAGAGCTCTAGCACTGAGCAAAAGCAGCTCACGGGCAACTGCCTAGGCCTTGAGTTCAAGCCCCTGGACTGGCAAAACAAAACAAACAAACAACAACAAAAAAAGTGACTGAATTCAGGGTATCCTACTCTCGTTTGACATGCATTCTACAATGTGACCTTTAGTTTGTTGTTAAATTAGACCTCTCAGTTTGGGAATGGTGGCTCATTTTTATTCTAGATACCCAGGAGACTGTGATCTGAGGCTCATAGTTCCAGCCACAGCTCAAAAGATAAAAGTCCATGAAACTCTCATGTCCAATTCAGCAACAAAAATCTGAATGTAACTTAAGTGGTAGAGTGCCAGCCTTGAGAAAAAAATCCCAAGTCATGAGTGCCAAATCAATCAATATATCAGTCAATAAATAAATTTGGTCTTGCAAAAGACTTACCATTTTATTATGTGTGTGGTGGTCAGTGCTAGGACCCTTAACCTGCTACAAACTAATCCCTTAAAATTAGTAACCAATAGCTTCATTATGCTTCTCGATTTATAACGTTGTTAATCATAGCAATTACTTACGGTAATAAAACCATATCCTTTAGATCGACCTGTTTCACTATCCATCATGAGCTGGATACTTTCAATCTAAAATTAAAAAACATAATTTTTGGTAAGTTTAAAGCATGGAAACACCTGGGTGCTGATGGTTCACGCCTGTAATCCTAGGTACTCAGGAAGCTGAGAAAGAACTGAGGAGGATTATCAATTGTTGCAAACAAACCCAAATTAATCAGCAAAAAGGTGCTAGCTCAAGATGAAGTTCAAGTAGAATGTAAGCCTTGAGAGAAATGCCAAATGAGAATGAGAAGCCAAGTTAAAACCCCAATACCAACAAACAAATACAAAAAAATTACATTACACATATATACATTTATACATATACACATACATATATATACATATATACATATATATATATGTATATATATGACACGTTTTCCCATTCACAGAAGGTGATAGTGAGCATTCACTTGTCCATTTATCCCAAGGGCACAACATGAACAACAAAAATTCCATTTACGTTTGTTGAAATGCATGGGATTTCTCTGAATTAGTCACTGTATAAGCCTATTTCTTTTTTCTTTTTTTTTTGGGTCCAGTCGTGGGGCCTGAACTCTGGGCCTGGGCGCTGTACCTTAGCTCTTCAGCTCAAGGCTAGCACTCTTCCACTTGAACCACAATGCCACTTCCAGCTTTTTCTGCTTATGTGGTACTGAGGAATCGAACCCAAGGCCTCATGCGGGCAAGGCAAGCGCTCTACCACAACCACCTTCCCAGCTCCAAGCCTATTTCTTATATTATGACAAAGTTACACCAGATAACTACTTTTCAGACATCTTTTTTATGGAACTCTGTAAGCACAGGAAATAGACCCCAAAACATACACTGACACATACCTAAATCATCTTAAATTTACAAAAAACACATTCTCAAAATCTAGAAAAAGGGGCTGGGAATGTGGCTCAGTGGTAGAGTGTTTGCCTTGTATGTATGAGGCCCTAGGTTTGATTCTTTAGCACTACATACGGAAAAAAACAAAAATAAAAACAGAAGTGGCACTGTGGCTCAAATAGTAGAACTCTAGCATTGAGCCTAAGAGCTAAGGGAGTGTACCCAGGCCCAGAGTTCAGGCCACAAAAATAACAACAACAACAAAAAATATCCAGAAATAAAGTAAGATTATCATAGTGCTCAAAGGAACAGTTTAGGAAATAGGGCTTTCCAGGGCTCCAGGGCTTAGGGTTTGATACTTAGCATGGAATACAACTCTTTTAAACTTTTATTTCCTTTTTTTTAAAATGGGGCTGGGAATGTAGCTCAGTGGTAGAGTGCTTGCCTTGCATACATGAACACCACATAAGCAGAAAACAAAGCCGGAAGTGGCGCTGTGGCTCAAGTGGCCTGAGATGGAAGAATCACATGTTGAAGCCACTTTGGAAAACTAAGCAAAACTTTGACACATTCAACCACAATCACCATACACACACACACACACACACACAAAGTATCCTTTTATTCATGAAGAATTTTAGAAAAGATTCTAACATACATTATGCATTAGACAGTAGCATTAGAATTAACAAGTAGTGATTAGGGGCTGGGAAGGTGGCTCAGTGGTAGAGCGCTTGCCTTGCATGCATGAGGCCCTGGGTTCCATTCCTCAGCACCACATAGAAAAAAGAAAAAAGCCAGAAGTGGCGCTGTGGGCTCAAGTGGTAGAGTGCTAGCCTTCAGCTGAAGAGCTGAGGGACAGTGCCCAAGCCCAGAGTTCAGGCCCCATGACTGGACCCAAAAAAAAATAAATAAAAAGTAGTGATTATATTCAATGTACATTATATAAAAACTGAACTATCTAATTTGGGGATAGGGATGGGAAGGGAGGAAATGGAGGAGAACAAAGAAAGGGGTGACATGGACTATGAGTTATATATGCTAATAACCTGCCTTAGGGAATTATCCTTTTGTACCACTAGTAACAATAACTTTTTATTTAAAAAAAGGGAAATCTGATACCTAGGAAGTCCTAACTATTTTATCCACCCTCACAGCCTCCTACGTATCTCAATTTCAGGTACTTATCCCCATGCTCATCAACTACATAACATTCTTTGTATTCAAATATATATATATAAAATTTTTATTTATTTATTTATTTTTTGTTTAGTCATGGGGCTTGAATTCTGGACCTGGGCCCTGCATCTCAACTCTTCAGCTCAAGGTAAGCACTCTATCACTTGAGCCACTTGGTTTACTGGAGATAATAATAGTCTCAAAGCCGCCCAGGCTGGCTTTGAACCACAACCCTCAGATCTCAGCCTCCTGAGAAGCTAGGATTACAGGCCTGAGCCACCAGCACCTGGCTTCAAATATGGTTTTTTCTTTTATTGTGAAAATACTGTACAAATATATGTTTTTGTGAGGCATGTTGACATCACAAAAATCTTTCAAAACAACCACTCTTTGCAAAGTATTAACAGAAAATTAAGTAGACCCGCAGAAATCATTAATTTTTTTCTAACCTGACACTTTATAAAGATTTGTTGAATATATAGACTTACCCTTCCAAAAGGCTCAAAGATCCCACGAAGCATATCCTCAGTTATGTTAAAGTGTAATGAGCCTACATAAAGCCTCATAGGCCCAGCACTGCCTTTTTGTAAATTATTTGCCATTGCTGCAGCTCTGTTTTTCTCAGCCTACAAGTAAATCAAGACAAAATATACATGATATAATACTCTGATTGTTAATGCCAATCATAGGAAACAGATTAAAATGTTTAATGACAATTGAGAGTAAATAAAAGATTATGCTAAGTCTACTTTATAAAGCATTAGTAATAGACAAATTCAGACATCAAACAGGACTGGCAAAAAAAATACAGGACTATGGCTTTTTGGATACATTTTTATTTGGCAATATAATTTCTGAAAATGATGGTTGTTGTACAACAGGAATATAATACATTGTATTGAACTATTAATAGTGGCCGAGTCAGTAAAGAGATCTGAGAATCATGGTTGGATACCAGCATGGTCAGAAACGCCCATGAGACTCTAGCCCCAATTCAACAGGAAAAACATAGTAGGAAGTGTTGCTTAAGTAGCAGAGCACCTCTAGTCAAAAAGTAAAGGGACAGGTCCCAAGACCTAGCATGCACTTCTATGTGCACAGGCATGCACACACACCACTATCAACAACAACAATTACTAAAGAAGTCTGGTGTGTGCTGGTAGGCGACATCTGTAATCAATCCTACCTATTCAGGAAGTTGAGATTTTAGACTAATGGTTTATAGTCAGTACAGGCAGACAAATTTGGAACTCTCAATTCAATTAATTATTACCTCTCAATCAACTAGGTGAGAGAGGGCAGGAGGTTATTGCATTGCAGGTGCTGGAATTTTGTGTTCAGGGCCTAGAGCTTTTTAGAAAAATATTTTACTACATGAACTTACTCCTTTTTGGCTAAGCTTATTTCTTAAATACTGTGAGGTTTTTACCTCAGGAACAACACTATGGTCTTCCTATTTATATCACCCAATATATGGGTGACAAACAAGTTCCACCATACCCAGCTTATATTTTGAATATGAGGTATTGCTCCTAGTTGCTATTGATGTGTATTAAACATCCATCATGTTCTCTGCTTCAAGAGTACCTGGGATAGCTGGGCGCTGGTGGCCCACACCTGTAATCCTAGGTACTCAAGAGGCTGAGATCTGAGGATCACTGTTCAAAATCAGTCTGGAGAGGAAAGTCCATGAGACTTTTATCTCCAATAAACCACCAAAAAAAACCAGAAGTGGCGCTGTGGCTCAAGTGGTAGAGCTCTTGCCTTGAGCTGAAGAGCTGAGGGACAGCACCTAGGCCCAGAGTTCAAGCCCCATGACTGACCAAAAAACCCCCACAAAGTGCTTATTTTCCCAATGGTGAACTCTTCTAAGCAAAAGAAAATTTTGCCTTGCTGAAACAAAGAAAGGACCCACTCACCCAGAATGTGACTTAAGGGTTTGGGGATTAACCTAGCAAAGCACAAGACCATAGAACACTATTACAGCAAATCAAACTGCTAACACAAAATTACCTGTGATGGGGGGGGGGGGGGGGGGCAGAAGGATTGGGACTGGAGGGGGGGGGGAGGGGGGAAGCTGGGAAGGGATGTGAAGGGTAAACAAAGGAGGAGGCTGCAATGCTTGGTAAGAAATGTACGCATTATCCGGCCCATGTAACTGTAACCCCTCTGTACAGTATGTTCACAAATAAAATAAAAAAAATTACCTGTGATGCCTGTACTATAATTGGCACTCCTAAAACTCGCTGGCCAGTTAATCCAATTGCGAGAGGCACTGAGCTAACATCCACAAATTCCACATAAGCAATTCCTTTGGAACGTCTTGAGTTTCTATCAGAAATCATCCTTACATCACGAACCTACAAAGAAATAATAAGGTTGTTTGTACAATAATACATAATAAACCACAAAGATGTAAGTATTTTTTTTGCCAGTCCTGGGGCTTGAATTCAGGGCGTAGGCACTGTCCCGGAGCCTATCAGTACTTATTTTTCTCAAGGCTAGTAGTGTTGTATCACTTGAGCCACGGAACAACTTCAGGCCTTTTCTGTTTAGGGGCATATGCAGACAGAGCACAGGCTCTACTCCTGACCTATATCCCCACTACTTTAATATTTTTCTAGAGACAGGTTTTTTTCCTGTAGAAAATGCTTGCCTTTAACTTGTAATCCCTACGGCCACCTCCAAATATGCTAAGCATGTGCTACACCATGTCAATTTTTTAATCCTAGCTTCACAGAAGACAGATCTGAGGATCACAGTTCCAAACTACCCTGGGCCTTGAGACTCTTAGGGAACTACGAGTTAACCATCAAAAGACAGACGTGGAGCTGTTGCTGAAATGGTACAACACTGGCTTTGAACAAAAAAAACCACAGGGACAGCACCCAGGTCCTGAGCTCAACTCTAGGAAGAGTGTGTATGTATACACTCCCAGGCACACACAAATTGTAGATATTACTGAAATATCAAGTATATTTTTCTTACTACCTTTTAATAGTCTATAGTAGGACTGGGAAGGTGGCTCAGTTGTAGATTGCTTCGCTCTCATGCATGAGGCCCTGGATTGGATTCCTCAGCACCACATAAGCAGTAAAAAGCCAGAAGTGGCGCTGTCACTCAAGTGGTAGGGAGGTAGCCTTGAGTTGAAGAGCTGAGGGACAGCACCAGGCCCAGAGTTCAACCCCCACGACCAACAAAAAAAAAAAAAAAAAAAACCAATAATAAAAAGTATATATGGCCAGGGAATTGTGGCTCACACCTATAATGCTACTTTCCAGGAGGGTTATGATTTGTGGATCATAGTTCATAGCCAGCCCACCCAGACAAAGCAGAGAACTCATTTCCAATCAGTTAGAACAAAGCCAGAAGTGGTAAAGTCTCAGCCACTAACAAAAAAAAGCCCATCAAGAGGAGAGGTCTTAAGTTGAAGCACAACTATAGGCTAACATAAAATTCAAGCTAGTCTGTCAGTCTGTTGTAACCCAGGTAACTTTCAACGATTCTCCCCTTACCCGTTAACCCCATGGTACTGACGTTCCTAGCTCCTCTTTGTATCATTTTTTGGTTATTACTGGAGATCAAATTTACAGCCTTTTCCTGGACAGCCCCTCTACCACTTGAGTCATGTCACCTGTCTTTTAGTACTGGTAATTTTCAAGGTAGATGCTCAATTTATAGCCAGGCCAGTGTGGGATATAATCCTCCTACATGTACTCCCACACTGTCGGGAATGACAATCACAAGCCACTATGCCCCATCACTGGTTCAGACCCAACTTGAAAATGTTTTTGCTCAGGTTGGGCTCCAAATAACTAGTATTATAGGCTTGTGCCAGATCACCTTTCTTTTGATATAGTAGTTAAAGGATACCAAATTTTAACACTACATATCCTTACAGATATGCAAAAAGGCACCAATGGACAGTTTACAAAAAACAATTTCCTAGTAAACCCAAGGAAAGATAGGGAGTCTAGACATATTCCAATTTTTATTTGCCACACTGACAATAAAAATACTGCACTGAGGGCTGGGAATGTGGCTTAATGGTAGAGTGCTTGCCTAGCATACATGAAGCCTTGGGTTTGATTCCTTAGTACCAGAAAGGACCAGAAATGGTGCTGTGGCTCAAGTGGCAGAGTATAGCCTTGAGCAAAAGCAGCTCAGGGACAATGCCCAGGCACTAAATTCAAGCCCCAGGACTGGCTGGTTAAATTAAATCAATCAATCAATCAATCAATCTACATATTAAGAGAGAAGGCAGGTTGGGAGGACTGGGGGAGAACAATGAAAGTGATGACATTAAGCAAGATGCTTTGTTCTTAAAAACTGACTTGAATGAAAAGCCCTTTGTACAACTACTTAAAAATAAAAACCAAGCCGGGTACTGGTTGGCTCACGCCTGTAATCCTAGCTACTCAGGAGGCTGAGATCTGAGGATCGCGGTTCAAAGCCATCCCAGGCAAGAGACCTTGAGACTCCTATCTCCAATAAACCACCAGAAAACCGGAAGTGGCGCGGTAGCTCAAGTGGTAGAGCGCTCGCCTTGAGCTGAGGGACAGCGCCCAGGCCCAGAGTTCAAGCCCCACGACCGACAAAAAATAAAATAAAATAAAATAAAAACCATATATATAATTTAAAAGCAAAACTCTTTTTCCACCCATTTAGTCTTCCTCCATTATTACCTTTCCTACTGTAGAGAAAAATTCTTCTAAATCCCTTGGTCGAATTCTTGCTGCCAGCTGCATACAGAAAACTGTCCTTGCATCTCTTTCCTCAGGAGTTAGATTGTCAATAGGCTCCCTAACAGGAGTAAAGAATACAAAATTAGTTTTGCAACATCTTCTAATTCAATGTCTAGAACAAGTCTAAATTAGTTTGATACTACATCCCAACACATGCTGGGAGCTGGTGGCTCAGACCTGTCATCATAGCTAGTCAGGAAGCTGACATCTGACAGTGGCCATTCAGACTGTCCGGTCAAGGAAGTCCATGAGATTCTAATCAACAATTAACCACTTAAAAACCAAAAGCAGCGGGGCTGGGAAGGTGGCTCAGTGGTAGAGCGCTTGCATGCATGAGGCCCTGGGTTTGATTCCTCAGCACCACATAAGCAAAAAGAAAAAAGCCGGAAGTGGCGCTGTGGCTAAGTGGTAGAGCTTTAGCCTTGAGCTGAAAAGCTGAGGGACAGCGCCCAGGCCCAGAGTTCAGGACCAACGACTGGACCACCACCCCCCTCAAAAAAAAAAAAAAAAAAAAACGAAAGTAGCAGGGTGCCAGTGGCTCGCGCCTGTAATCCTAGCTACTCAGGAGGCTGAGATCTGAGGATCACAGTTCAAAGCCAGCCAGGACAGAAAAGTCTCTGAGACTCCCATTTCCAATGAACCACTAGAAAACCCCTAAGTGGAGCTGTGGCTCAAAAGGTAGAGTGCTTACCTTGAGCTGAAGAGCTGAGGGAGTGCACCCAGGCCCAGAGTAAAGGCCCCATGACAAAAAAAAAAGTGGACCTGGGGCTCAAAGTGGTAGAGTGCTATTCTTTTTTTGTTGTTATTGGTCATGGGGCCTGAACTCTGGGCTCTGTCACTCAGCTCTAAAGCTGAAGGCCAGCCCTCTACCACTTGAGCCACAGCACCACTTCTGCCTTTTTCTGCTTATGTGGTGCTGAGGAATTGAACCCAGGGCCTCATGCATCCAAGGCAAGCACTGTACTACTGAGCCAATGAGATACCTTCCCAGCCTGAGATAACCAGTTTTAACTATAATTACTATCTGCCCAATAACAAATTTGAGACATATTCAAAATCCATAATGATGCCTCCTCAGAATAAAACCATAATGTAAAATCATTGTTTGAAAATTAGAAATGCTCAACTTAGAGATAATCCCAAAGATGAAGCATTCTAATTTTACAAATTCAGATGAAAACGAGGATTTTTTTGTTGTTGTTGTTGGTTGTGGGGACTGAACTCTGACTCTGGGGCTTGGGCACTGTTCCTGCATTCTTCAGCTCAAGGCAAGCAATCTACTGCTTGAGCCACAGTACCACTTCCGGTCTTCAAGTGGTTTATTGGAGATGAGTCTCACAGACTTTCCTGCCTGGGCTGGCTTTAAACCGTGATCCTCAGATCTCAGCCTTTTGAGTAGCTAGTAGCATGAGCCACTGGCGCCCGGCTAAAATGAGTTATTTATAAGTGCAATCTAGTGTCCACACTTTATCAACTGCATTTTTTTTTTGGTCAGTCCTGGGGCCTGAACTTTGGGCCTGGACACTATCCCTCAGCTCTTCAGCTCAAGGCTAATGCTCCACCATTTGAGTTACAGCACCACTTCCAGCTTTTTCTGTTTATGTGGTACTGAGGAATTGAACCCAGGGCTTCATGTATGCAAGGCAAGCACTCTAACACTAACCCACCTTCCTAGCCTTCAACTGCTAGTCCAGACTGACCTAGAAAATCAGTGTCAACCAAGTATCTGGCCTATTTGGGTTTTTTTTTTTTTTAAGATAGGGTCTTTACTAACATAAGCTGGACTCAAATTCCTGAATCCTTTCACCTCACACTGCCAAGTGCTGGGATTACAGAATTTATTCTGCAATCTGCTTTAGTGTTTCACTTCAGGAGCACATACACTAACGTGGATAAATACAGAAAGGATGAGAACGTACAATAGTCAATAAATTCTCAAATAATGGGAGATTTTAATGAAAATAAATAAATGTGTTAACATCTATTATAAAATGTGACTTTGTTTTATTTGTACTGAGACTTAACTCAGGATTTTGTACTTTTGCCCACAGGCTAGTAGCTACCACCTAAGCCACACCTCCAGCCGTACACACAGCTGTGTGTGTCTGTGTGCATACTGTTCTCTCAGGACTTCGGTGCTGTCCTTTAGCTTTTTGACTCAAGGCTGATAGCTTTACCACGAGATTAGAGGCTTGAACAAGTGAGGAACAGCTCTTAAACATGTTTTATCCTCATTCTGAATATTATCAGGCACAAGTGCAGGTTGGGAAAAAAAAAAAATCACTACTTCACTAACAAAATGATTCCAAGTGATTGGAAAATCAGCAGACAGGTGATCTGCAAGACAATTTAAACATCTCAACTAGATTCAGATTAAGAACAGAAACTCTTTAAAAATAGCGAATGTGTTACGAATTTGCCTTTCATCCTTGTGCAGGGCCATGCTAATCTCTGTATCCGGAACTGGTGGCTCATGCCTGTAATCCTAGCTACTCAGGAGGCTGAGATCTGAGGATCAAGGTTCAAAGCCCAGGCAGGAAAGTCTGTGAGAGTCTTATCTCCAATAAACCACTCAGAAAACCAGAAGTGGTGCTGTGGCTCAAGTGGTGGAGTGCCTGCTTTGAGCTGAAGAGTGCAGGGACAATGCCCAGGCCCAGAGTTCAAGCCCCACAACCGACAAAACCAACCAACAAACAAACAAAAAAAAGCAAAAAAAAAAAAAAAAAAAAAAAAAACCAGCCTGGGTATGAAAGTCTATGAGACTCTTATCTCCACACCAAACTACAAAAAAAAAGTTGCAAATGGAGCTGTGTAAAGTGGTAGAATCTTGGCCTTGAGCAAAATAGCTTAGAGATACCCCCAGCCCTGAGTTCAAGCCCAAAGACTAGCACAAAAAAAGATAGACAGATAGATAGATAGATAGCAGAGAGTCTATAAACAACTAATACTTAGTATGTGTGCCTCATTTGGTCCACAGGGTTGAACATTACCCATGATTTTTTTTTTTTTTGGGTCCAGTCATGGGGCCTGAACTCTGGGCCTGGGCACTGTCCCTTAGCTCTTCAGCCTCAAGGCTAGCGCTCTACCACTTCAGCCACAGTGCTACTTCCGGCTTTTTTCTTTTTGCTTATGTGGTGCTGAGGAATCCAACTCAGGGCCTCATGTATGCAAGGCAAGCGCTCTACCACTGAGCCACCTTTCCAGCCCCTACCCATCCTCCTTTTACTAAAACCGTTTTCAAGACCTCTGAGATACAGTTAATTTCCTCATAAGAGCCGGGAGCCAATGGCTCACTCCTGTAATCCTAGCTACTCCGGAGGCTGAGATCTGAGGATCTCAGTTCAAAGCCAGCCCGGGCAGGAAAGTCAGTGAGACTCTCATCTCCAATAAACCACTAGAAAACTGAAGTGGCTCTGTGGCTCAAGTGGTAGAATGCTGGCCTTGAGCTAAAGAGCACGCAGGGACAAAGTTCAAGCCCCACGACCGACCAAAAAAAAAATTTTTCTCAGAAGAGAACAAAAAGTCAGCAAAATTTATTCTTATATGAGGCTACTTCAAGTAAGACTATAGCAAATAACTTTTTTTTTTGCTTGAACTCAGGGCCAGGGCACTGTCCCTGAGTTGCTCTGCTCACTAGTCACAGCTCCACTTCCAATTATTAACTTATTTCTTAATAACTTAATTTCACAGTTAAGCATATTTAGTAAATACTTCCACATTTAAATGGTCCTTTATTTTTAAATTACATGAAGTTAAAACAAAAGCTATTGAAAACTTATATTCACATTGATTTGAATTTATAATACTACCAAAAATAAAAATCAAGATTAATATTCTCTGAAGTTACAGTCACTGAATCTAGCATAAACATAAACTGTCAAAGTGCTTTTAGGTTTTTTTCAGTAATTTCGTTAACAAATTGTTACAGAAGTTGTAAGCTCTAAATTTAAAAATGTATGTATATTCATATATATGTATATTTGAACAGCTACCTCACAGGGCTCTTGTCTTTCCTGAATGGACTTTTGCTTCGGGAACGTCGTCTACTGCAAAGTTAAAAAGTTTCACAAGTTACAAAAAAAAATACATCACAGTAATTCCTTAAAAAACAATTTAAACAATTCAGAAGTATGTTTAAAAACCTTAATTTGATGCTATGAGGCAACCCAATCTTTCCTCGGATGGCACTGTTAAATTTTGGTCCGGAGCTAAAAAGGAAAACACAAAATTACACTAGTTACAGGTTTAGGGTCTTGCTAAGATCGTGCTCACGTGTGCTCATGTGCTCTCCAGCAATTTTAACATTGTTTAGGCTGCTGCTTTTCCACCTCAATTATGAAGAGGAAACAAAGGACTTTGAGGAACCTTAACTATTTCCCAGGCCTGTGCTCATTTTACTTATTGACCCTGGGCACTAAAATGTGTGAACATGAAGAAAGATAAAAGCATAAAAGGGCTCACACATAGTTTTTCCTTCCTTTTTTTTTTTTGGTGCTAGTTAATACCAGGGCTTGAACTCAGGGCCTTGAGCTCTCGTTTAGCATGCTTCTTCTCATGGCTGGTACATTACCATTTGAGCCACAACTCCATTCTAGCACTTTTGTAGTTAACTGGAGTGTACTGTCCAAGAACTATGAAACAAGGACTCAACCTGAGTAGCTATAATTTCAGTGTGAGCCACCCTCAGGCTTAGTTTTAATTACCTAATTTAACATGCCCTCATAAATATAAATCCTGCTGTATAACATTAGCAACTTTTTGTGTTATCTTCATATTTATTCTTGAGAATTTATATGTACATCATATTAAAGTTACTGCAGTTTACACAAATTTTGATGTTTGAAAGACTTTCTAAGTGTGTATGCTGGTCATGGGACCTAAAACTAAGAGTTTGGGCACTATTCTTGAGCTTTTATGCTCAAGACTAGCACTCTACCATTTGAGCAATAGCTGTATGCTTTGGCTTTTTGGTGGGTAAATGGAGATGAGAATCTTATGGACTTTCCTGACTGGGCATTCTTCAAATTATGATCTTCACATCTCAATCTCCTGAGTGGCTAGAACTACAGGTTATAAGCCAATGACACCCAGCTAAAGGACTTCTTTTAAAATACAAAGGGAGTAATATTTAACATAACAATAACACTTAGCGTCTTTTAAAAATTACAGGGAGTCTTTGTACGTCACCTTTATAATAGAAAAAAAATGTAATTACAGGGATACTTCACAGTCATAAACATCTTTCCACTGAAGAAGTAATACTATTCTTGATCAAAGTATTATTTTTTGCTAGTATAGGTGCTTAAATTTGGGACCTTGTGCTCCTGCATGATTTTTACTCATCATGGCTGATACACTACCATTTGAGCCACACCTCCAGCTCATTTTCCCAGGTTAACTTAATAAAAGCCTCAAAGATTTTTATGTCTAGGCTGACTTCAAACCTCAATCTTCAAATCAGCCTCCAAAATCTCAGGTGTGAACCCTGGGACCTAGCTGTTAACAGTAATTCTTAAGTAGTATACCCTTAGCTCTTCATAGCAATATTCCTAATACAGGAGTGATGGTATTCATCATCTCCTTACAAAACTTTTGAAGATTTCACATGATTAAAACATGACTTTCAAACAGATTACAAAAGAAATCCAAAGTACCCCAAGTTTTCGTATAACTTTAAAGGCCAACTAACTTAAAAGGACCTTAGTTTTTCCATGAAAACTAGTCCATTTCCAATAGACAAGAAGTTTCCACTGAAAGTATTTTATATTAAAACAGGTCCTTATAATTAAGACTAACAAGAATAATTAATATGCACATTTACTGTGACCAGAGATATGACTCAAGTAAAAGAGCATCTTCCTAGCAAACTCAAGGCTATGAGTTAAAACCCAGTATTGAAAGAAAAAAAAAAAACGCCCTGCAAATTAAGGTTCCTATAATAACCTGAAAACTATTTGTTTTTTCCTTAAATTATGAAAGTCTCAGTCAGCCTCCATAGTTAAAATTTGAAATACAACACAGAAGAGAGCTAAATGGTCTTTAAGTAAGGCAGACCAGACAGCAAATATGCTACAAAAATATGCTAAATCTTTTTAGCATGCCAAAATAATTTTTAGTTAATAGTCCCATTTATTTCACCCAGGTAAAAGATGAACAATTTCACTGTGAGAATACAATATATCTTCATTATATGGGTCAAAACAAATATATATATATATTATATATATATAATATACTGCTCAGTATTGTGATCTAATATGAAGCTTGTAAGAAAATACATGAAATAATGGATCTGGGGTATTCATTTATATGTCTTCAATTAATAGCAAACCTTTTCATTAATACTGTTTCAAAGTACTGAGTGCTTTATTTGCAATCTTTTCTTATTATTTATGTGTAAGTTACTTCTTTGCAGAAGAGTAAACAAAAGCTTATCAACCAAAACCTATGGCTTATAATTCACATCTTTGAATTCCATTCTTAATCACTTAAATCAACTTTTAATACATCTCATGAAACAGTGTGCTTATTAACAGGAAGTAACACCAAAGGTTGAAAGACTGCTGGTTTCAATTCTTGCTTAAAATTACATGAAATTTCTTTCCAAAATTGTTAATATAGCTGAATTGTTTAATATCTATCATAACTTGCAATTTTTTTTTTTTGGTTGGTGGTGGGGCTCAAACTCTGGGCCTGAGCACTGTCCCTCAGCTCTTCAGCTCAAGGCAAGCACTCTACTACTTGAGCCACAACACCACTTCAGGTTTTCTGGTGGTTTATTGGAGCTAAGAGTTTCATGGACTTTCCTGCCTGGGCTTGCTCTGAACCACAATCCTCAGATCTTGAGTAGCTAGGCTCTAGAGTAGCTAGGATTACAGGCATGAGCCACTGTGACGGTTTAACTTGCAAATTTTTACACAGACATAATGTTCAAAGCACTTTCAGTTTATAATAGCATTATTAAAGAATCTTTTCTGTGTACATGTTCTGGTCCTAGGCACTATTCCTGAGCTTTTCTTGCTCCAGGTTCTCTTACCACTTGAGTCACAACTTTAATTCTGCCTTACTGGTGGTTAATTGAAATTAAGTCTCATCAGATTTTCTGCCAGGGCTGGCTTTGAGCCCTAATCCTCAGCTCTCAGCCTCCTGAGTAGCAAGGATTATTGGCATGAGCCCCAACAGCAATCTTAAAATACAAATGTGGGATGAGTATATTACAAGAAACTCATAAAGAAGTTTCATAAGGACATGATTTTTACCGTTAACTAATTATACACTAATAATTTTAGTGTTAATGACATGCTATCTACTATTCAAAATCTTTATAACTCAAAAAAATAATAATTTTAGTGTTTACTAGTAATTTACTGTTCACTTTAAATGTTATATATACTTAGTAGGTATTTTAAGAGTTCATACCTTTAAGCTTCGTTTCAATCAATTCAGTGCTTTTAATTAAGTGCAATTAACTAAAATATTTAAATTGGATTAACAGGAAAAAAAAGGCTAGAATCCTGGGTAAAACAAATATTTTACCCACTGTGTATTTTACCCATTATGTATTTCCACAATCCTCTAGGTTTCAATGCTAATATCATTTACTCTTAGTATTTTTATCTAGCCACTGAAAATTAAAATGTCACACTTGAAGCAAATGTCTCAAGCTAAATTGTCAACTGAACATCCGCAGAATGATACTCCCAACAAAATTATAATTACATACTAGGGACTTCTGTAGCGGCCTCGGAATCTGCGATCTCGACTTCGTGAGCGGCTTCGTCTCCTTTCTTTGCTTCTACTGCGCTTCCTTTCTCGGCTTTTGCTCTTTTTCCTTTCTCTATCTCTACTTCGCTTACGTTCCTTACTTTTGCTTCTCTTGCGTTCATGACTACGACTTCTGCTCTTGCTTTTTTTCCTCCTGAGAAGAAAAAAATTGCCATTACTTTGCTGGCTTAAAAACAGAAACGTACTTCCTTTTATGGTCAGAATGTTTACTATACTTTTGTAAATTTGTTTTTCTAATTTTCCCACCACACAATAGTATATGATCATACTCAAAATTTTAAAAAAAGAAATTCTTAGGAATCATAAAGAAGACCACAACTCTTGAGTAGTCAGTGGAGGAATTGAGAGACCGTATTTTATGAGCAGGAACTATAATTTCTTCCTTTCCTTTCGCTTTGTTTCAACAGTACTAAGGATTAGACTAAAGAGTCTGGGATTTACTACAAAAGCACTATAACATAAGCCATGCACCAACCAGCCCTCCACAGCCCGGTCAGCTACTGCTTAAAGAAAGTATTTCAAAACTTTGATTTTTGTCGATTTCTCCCATCCATGTACTAACTTGACCTGACCCTGCTAAGCTCATGAGATAAGAGATCAGGTACATTCAGGGTGATATGGCTGTGTACAGGAGGCGGATTTCTAAGAATAACTGTTCGAAGCCAACCTGGACAGTAAAGTCCTCCAAGTAATCACCAAAAAGCCTGAAATAAAGCTGTAGCAAATGGTCTTTTTTAAGAGAGCCTTAAGCAAAAGGCTAAAGAACCACATCCAAATGGAGTTCAAACTATAGCATTAAAGAAAAAAAAAATCATACATTTAAAAGATCATCATTAGCCAGGAGCTGGTTCCTACTACCATTTACAGGACAACATTCTGCCCTTCCAAGGACCATTAATCATTAACATTCCAGTTATGTGAAAATTACAAATATTAACAAAGGATACTAGAACTCATGCATTAAATGCATTTTTACATTCCCAGACTTTTAATCTGACCATTTATAACACTTTCAATTTATGACTACACCAGAAAATGGGAGTATGTCACTTTTAAGCCACTTTATACACAAGCCTATGGGGTGAAAAACAATGATCCAATGACATTCATAAATCCTTATAAAATCTCAAACTCTGAAAGGTTAAAAAAAAAGTCAGTTGTATCTGTTTATTCTATTATGCTTCACAGTATTCCACCACTCATTTCATAAGCAATTGGTACCTGTGTATCACCCAAATTAGAGGTGCCTTCAGATATTTCATAAATTTAAAGACATTTCAAAATAGATTCCACTAAAATATCGATTTGTATTGGTTTAAAGTTTGAACATTTTAATAATGCTGTATCATTATTTGGAAACTTAATTATTTAGTCCTTATCAAAGCAGTTAGCACAGAGCTATGATGTTTGCCTCAGAGAACCTGTGAACAGGTCATCTTTAAGAGTGCATTGAAAATAGAAAATGAAGACACCCACCTTCTGGAATCTTGAAACCCACACTCCAATCACAAGGAGATGTAGAGCTTTCCAAGGAGGCAGAAACTTTGTCTAAAATTTCAAGATAATCCACCTGACTGTCAGAAATATATATGCTAGTAGTAGCACATGACAGAAAATAAGGCTACACTCATTATTTATATAGTAGTCAAAGCAATGCCAATGCTTAGAATGGAAACCACTAACATGTCAACTTTTTTTGTCTCAAAAACCTAACAGTCTATTAGACTAAAGAATTTTGTGAAATGACCATTAAGTCCTATATACAATCAATTCAAATTAGGGAGTAGGTAAAAAGTAATTCCATCCCCCACAAGAAAAAAAGGCAAATACGGTTTTTGCTCTCCTCAATAATGTCCCATAGCAGAGGCAGTTATCTTCCTGTTTACCTTTAACATGTCCTGTAACTTATTCTATCAAAAACTTCAAAATATTAGCTACTTTTTAACTTGAAGTCTTCCTAGTACTTTTTGTAAACAAATCCACATCCACATCTGAAGGCAACCCCAGACAGGTAAAAAGACAACATACAAAGACATTTAGGATATATAATCTTCTATAAAAGCCCAGACCCAAAAAATACTAAGAGCGTAAGAAGAAAATATGATATTTCCTGTGACAAATTTCACTTTCAAAGAACATTTATCAACTAAAGAAATAATCAAAATCCATACTAATAGTCAAATCCTGTTACAACTTAAATGGGACTTTCTTTCCAAAGTCTTTAGTGGCAGTGGAATTTTGTACTGAACATCATTGAAGTAAATGGTCCACTGGGCTGAGCCTTTGGAATTTTTGGTTATATGGCCTCTGCTGTAAAGGTGTTTTGCTATAACTGGATTTGACCTCTTCCATGTAAGAAGTTCTAAATTTTAAATGCAAAGTATTCTGGAAAATAAGAAAAAAATAGAAAAGTCATTTATTCCAAAATTTATATATAGTCCACACCACAGTAGCCAATATATTTCAACTATGTAATTTTACTTTCCTTTTCGAATAATTCTCTAAAAAGGTTAACAAAAAAGGCAGGTTAGGCTTTGCCAAAGTGGTTATGCTAATAAATGCAACCATTAGGGCAACACCTCGGATAAAGCATTCACAGCATTATTATGGAGGTCTTGCCAAACCAAGATATGCTAGACATAAAATGAAAACTCAGGTATATATAGTTGGCTTCACAAAACTGAAACCTATTTAATTTTAATAATTAGCACCTTTTACTACTTACTTCTTCTGGATAATGAAGTGTATGTGTTCATTAAAACATTTATAGTTACCCAACTCAAATTCTCAAAATGTACATCTTTTTTTCATGTACATCTTAATTCCAACATTCAGTGGCTCTTAAAACAAAATTTTAAGCTGAGCACCAGCTGCTCTTGCCTGTAATCCTAACTACTCAGGAGGCTGAGGCGTGAAGATTCAAGTTCAAAACCAACCCAGACATACAAATTTGAGACCTATCTCCCGTTAACCAGCAAAAAGCCAGAAGTGGTGAAGCAAAAAGCTAATTGAGGGCTTTAAAACGTCCTGAGGTCAAGCCCCAGTAGGCACATGGGTATACATGTGCACATGTATACATACAAACCCACAGTGTTTTTAGGATGAAACTGGTAAAATACCTTCCTTTGATTAAGACAATTTTCTGACAATTTATCCTAAAGACTAAAGCAAAAGGAGAACATTTTTCAGTTGTTTTACTTTTTTTCTACATGTCTAACTGCTTTGAAAAAGTTCTTTTAGAAAAATACATCAAAGCTGTTGGTTGAACTACGAAGTTATATTTGACCTGCTATGATTAATGATTAAGAAGTCTGACAAAGCTAGGCACCGGTAGCTCACACCTATAATCCTAGTTACTGAGCAGGTGTAATCTGAGAATTGTGGTTCAAAAGCCAGCTTGGGAAGCCAATCCCCAAGCTTCTTTATCTCCAATTAACTACAGAAAGGTAGATGTGGAACTGTGACTCAAGGAGTAGACTTGAGCACAAAAAATTCAGGGACAGTGCTGAAGCCCTTAGTTCAAGCCCGTGACCAGCACCAAAAGAAAAAAAAAAAATCTGACAAATTTTAATAAATTGCTAAAGTGTTTAAAAATTCTTCCCTTCAACTCTATGGAAAACTAATTATTCCTGTATTATTCCCACGAAACATAGTTAAAAACAAAACGATTAATGCTCAATTTTCCTATAAAAAGTTTGTGACATTAGATGCAGGATAAAAAGATGTACAAAGTAGAGATTACATTAGTGGAATGACTGAAGTCAGAAAATTATATAATAGCTGGGCTTATGCCTATAATCCTAGCTACTCAGAAGGCTGAGATCTGAGGATTGAGGTTATGAAGACAGCCCAGGCAGGAAAGTCCTTGACACTCTTATCTCCAATAAACTACTCATTAAAAAAAATGACAGGGTGGGGTGGTGGCTCAAGTGGTAAGAGCCCTAGACTTGAACAAAAAGCAGCTTAGGGAGTTCAAGCCCCAGGACTGGCAAAAAATAAAAAATAAAATGATAGAGACTGGGATGGTGGCTTAGTGGCAGAGTGCTTGCCTATCATGCATGAAGCCCTGGTTTTGATTCCTCAGCACCACATACACACAAAAGCCAGAAATGGCGCTGTGGAACAAGTGGTAGAGTGCTAGCCTCGAACAAAAGCTCAGGGACAGTGCCCAGGCCCTGAGTTCAACTCCCAGGACTGGCAAAATAAATAAAATGATCTGGGGCTGGGAAGGTGGCTCTGTGGTAGAGCGCTTGCCTTGCATGCCTGAGGCCCTGGGTTCGATTCCTCAGCACCACATAAGCAAAAAGAAAAAAGAGCCGGAAGTGGCACTGTGGCTCAAGCAGTAGAGCGCTAGCTTTGGGCTGAAGAGTTGAGGGACAGCGCCCAGGCCCAGAGTTCAGGCCCCACGACCGGACCCCAAAAATAAATAAATAAATAAAATGATCTAATAAATAAGATCTGCTTCCAAAATTTATCTTCAGCCTTTTGGCAGTTAAGGGACACTTTTTTTAGTCACTAAGCCTGGTATCTAAAATAATTTTCATCAATTTATACATTAGTCTTTCCAGAAATTTGACTATAAGATTACAAAATAAATACATAAGGAAACTATTGAAACTAGATTAACATAAATAAACCCTGAAACAATTTATCAGGTGCCTCAGACCAAAGCAATTGAAGACTAAACCTAACCTGATCCCCACATCCAATGATTAGGAAGTAACTATAAATAACTTCCACATAAGCTTGATCCGCCTGCCCCAACCTCCAGAGTCCTGGGATTTAAGGCATGTACCAGCATACTTTCCTAAAATCATATCATTTTTCAGTTCATTAAAGAAACCATAAAAATAGCGTAGGATACCATGAATAATACAAATCCAACTATTTTCCCAATTATTTATAAAACTACACCAACCTACTTAACAGTCTTAAGATAGTTATTGTAAGGCACTCTGAGCTCTTAGGAGAAAAATAGCTATAATGAACCAAGTAAATGGCTACTTTGCCATTTTTGTTATGTACTGAGGTCATATTAAAAAAAAAAAAAAAAAGCCAGTGAGAGGGTTGGAGATATGGCTCAGTTGGTAGAGCACTAGTCCAATGAGCGAAAGCACCAGGTACCAAGTCCTGAGTCTTAGACAGACAGACAGACAGACAGACAGACAGACAGACACAGACACACACACATACAGAGTACTAGTCTAAATGCAAAATTCACAATGATACGTTACTCAAAATAAAATATGCAATCCTAATTTTCAAAACTCTAAGTCCCAGAGAGACAATGAAAGCCACACTAAGAAGTATTTAACTCAGGAGCCAGTGGCTCCTGTAATTCTAGCTGAGACATAAGGATTGTAGTTCAAAGCCAGACTAGGCAGGAAGTGTGTGAGACAGACTCTATCTCCAATTAACAACCAAAAAGGCTAGAAGTGGAGCTGTGGTCCAAACTGGTACAGCTCTAGCCTTGAGCAACACCTAGGCCTTGAGTTCAAAGTCCCAGAAACAATGCAAAAAAAAGTATACTCTTGGAGCTGGGAAGGTGGCTCAGAGAATCAGAAGCAAGCCCTAGATTCACTTAGCCTCCAATCCTAGGGCTAAAGCTGAAGCCATGGGCTGGGAAGGTGGCTCAGTGGTAGAGTGCTTTCTTTTGCATGCATGAGGCCCTGGATTTGATTCCTCAGCACCACATAAGCAGAAAAAGCAGGAAGTGGCCCTGTGGCTCAAGTGGTAGAGCACTAACTAGCCTTGAGTTGAAGAGCTCAGGGACAGTGTCCAGGCCCAGAGTTCAGGCCCCACAAACGACAGACAAAAAAAAAAAGTATGCTCTTAATACTACCAAAAGGGCCAATAAGCACCAAGGAACAGAAATAATAATGCACAGCCCTGATGTCCTTTAGTGATTTAGAGAAACAATTTCTTTCCATGAACCGATTATCCTTTCTACTGTAACTTCTTTCTCTTAAGTTCAGTTGATATAGTTTTATTGATACATCACCAAATAACAAGTCAAAGTTATCCTCTTTTTTTTTTTTTTGGTCCTGGGTGCTGTCCATGAGTCCTTTTGCTCAGGCTAGCACTCTACCACTTTGGGCCACAGCCTCACTTCTGATTTTCTTGTAGTTAACTGGAGATAAGGATATGGGTCTCAAACTTTTTTGCCTTGGCTTCCAACCATGATCCTCAGATCTCAACATGGTTAAGCCATCAGCGCCCAGCCAAAGTTATCAAATTTAAGAAAACAGATAAGCTTTTTTTTTTTTTTGGTCAGTGGGTTGTGGGGCTTGAACTCTGGGCCTGGGCGCTGTCCCTCAGCAATTTAGCTCAAGGCAAGGGCTCTACCACTTGAGCCACTGTGCTACTTTCGGTTTTCTAGTGGTTTATTGGTGCGCAGAGTCTCACGGACTTTCCTGCCCTGGCAGGCTTTTAAGCAAGATCCTCATATCTCAGCCTCCAGAGTAGCTGAGATTACAGGCACACCAGTGCCCGGCTGAAAACAGATGAGCTTTAATTTAGGAACTCACTCTTAACCAGATTATGATGGTCTGCAGAAAGTATACAGAACATCCTTAAACCTACATTCTGAAAAATCTAGGCAGGAAGTCCATACATTTTTTTTTCAATAACCTCAAGGAGTTTCTTGTCCCAAAAGGTAAAGAACAAATTTGTGCGTGCGCAAGCACATGTTCGAGTCCTAGAGCTTCAACTCAGGGCCTGTGCACTGTCCCTGAGCTTCTTTTGTTCAAGGCAAGCACTCTATCACTTGAGCCACAGTACTACTTCCTGTTTTATGATGGTTAATTAGAGATAAAGTGTCTGGCAGACTTTCTGGCAAAGGCCTCAATCCTCAGATCTCAGCCTCCTGAGTAGCTAGGATTACAAGCATGAGCCACCAGTTCCTGTCAAGAACAAAATTTCTCTAAGAAGTACTCTGAAAAGAACCTCAGAGCTTGGTATTTTAGGAACAAGAACACAATTTAGAATTTCAACCATATTAATTTCAATAATCACACCCCCACCCCCAGCTTCTCCTTAAAACTTACTTTTTGCTACGTTCTTCATGGCCGTTAGCACTGCTCAACTTGTTCTCATCCTAAGCAGGGTTGATAGAAGAACATCATGAGGACGAAGTGGTAACATTTCAAGTTGTCAAAGGGTAAAGGGAATAGGAATAAGAAAATACAAAACAATTTTAAAACTAATTACTTATTTAGTTTAACATGGAAGGCTATAAAAAAATTTAGATGGTGTGTTTCACCACTTTGTTGCTTATAGTTAAGTCATCAAGATACAAAATAAAAATCTCCACATTAACACGTTATATTTTACTTTCTTACATAGATTAGACAGATTATTCAGATTTTACAATATTGAAGTGGTTAAATATAATTTCTATAAAACATGAAGTCCTGGTTGAGTTTGATTCCATGTGCTATGGTCCCTTTCGTCAGTACCATGGCTCTATTTCTGCCTAAGCCCCAAGTGGCCATGCTAGCAGCCAGCCACTATCGATTTCCTGTGACCGATGCCATTCCTGAGATCTTCGCCCATTTCCGTTGGAGGGTTGGGACTGTAAGAGCTTGATGCCACCTCTGTCACACATCTCGCCCTGAAGCAAACAGGGATTCACACTGCTTTAGTAATGTTGACTCCCAAGAACCCAAGAAAGTCAATTAATAATCCACCAGTCCAGCCTAAACATTCCTACTTCCATACCTGTTTTACATGGAAGTACATCCACGTTAAACTAAGACAAGAAACATTAAAACAGAAAGTAGCTTTCTTCAAGAGTCTAAGCATTACAAAACTACATAAACTATTTTAAAGCTATCAGAATTCATCCAAAAGGTACCACATGGTCGTGCTATACACTCCAAAGCAAATGTATTATTTTTAAAAGGTTTAGTGCAATGTTTATTTTAAAGTTTGATCACATCATCTATAGGAGCATAACTGCTAAATTACAAAGCTTACAATTTGTGACACCAGTGATAATGCATGCATACTGCTATTTTCACCACCAACTGGTGAAAGAATGAAAAGACAGTTTAACTGTGATACTGAAATGGGTCATAATGTATTCTTATCCAAAATAACTCCTTTGTAGTTTTTAGTGTGAAATACTATGACAGGACCTAATTAAAAACAAGACAATATGGAGAACAGTAAGTATATAAGTCATCACGTGACTCTAGGCTGTGATACTGCCTCTTTTGACTTTTTTTTTTAAGTTTCTATCAGGGATCCAAGAATTTTAGTAATTATTAACTGAGAAGCAGATCACCACCTGCCTGTTTTACCTATCACCAGTCTTTTTAGTACATGTAAATTTTTAAATCTCACCCATTTCTTCTTGAAAGACTTATTAAAAGATTTACTTGCCATAGACTGGTATTCTTTGTTATTCTTGGACCCCTGCTGTTTTCCCAAACCACTACATTCACCTTTTTGCTATACCAAACTGGAGCTGGTAATTCTTAGTTGAGTCATTTTACCTAGGGGACCACGGTACAGCGATAAGTCACTCAATTACTACCTTATGATTGACAGTTCACACTGGAATCAAAGGTGAATTCATGGGAGTAGAGGTGAGATATCGTTAGGCAAGTCTACAAAGAGAGATAGATGGGCATTTATTCATCACGCTGAAGTGAAACTACTGCACAATATTATTACATCAATAGCATATATTTACTTTTGTAAGTTATACGTAATGCATCTCTGATAAGATAAATCAAGAGGGCTCCGGGGAGGTTAGTTTACATTTCAGCAGTAGTTTCGTGAATAATGCTAAATTAAGAAATAAACAGACCTCACCGACATGTTTTTTCTCACCTTCTTATAAGGAGCCTCAAGCATTGCTTCAATATCAATATCGTCTGCCATTTTCTCTAAACGCCTAGGGAAGAACAAGACAATCCCGTGAATAATTTTCGATGATGCTCAATTTCTCTCACGGCCAACACATATCAAAACTGGAAAAAATCCTTCAGAAGACCTACCATGACTATAAAGGAGCACGACGCACTTTATCAGGCGTGGCTTATGTAAGCGAATCTGAACCGCCTCGTACATCAAACACACAAAAATAAAGGTTCTAACGTCCAATTTTACTTTTAAAAGCCTGCAGTGAACACCCAAAACGTAGTTTGAAGGGCAGGAGGTTGAGAGCGCTTTTTAAAAGCGCAAAATCCGCGCTGCCATTTTAGGGGCAAAGGGAAACTCCCTCTGTTGGGAGGGGTGGTGTACCAAGGTAGCGTTCGACAGGCGCCATGTTGGGAGGTCGAGGCCGACACAGGCCTCGAAGGGACAGGTCGTCACCACCTACCCGAGGCCGCTGAGGTCCGTAGCAGCGCTACCACCCAAATATTCATACATCTATATATGCGTATACACACATCGGTGTATGTATGGACTCCTACCCTACCAGGGAAGGAGGGAGCGAGCACAGCGGCGGAGACCATTTCACGGGGGCCCCTCCCCCACCAAAAACCGTCAAAATCCCTCCCCACGCCGAGGCCCAGGGACGCTCCGCTACGTCCCGACCACCCGCGACACCACCGTACCTGTTCGGGCTTTCGCACGCCTGTGGTCGGTTCGGGAAAAAGTCTGCTGCTGTCGCTGCCGCCGCTGCCGCTCTGGCTACTCTTAAGCCCCTAGGCCGAGGCCGCGGAACCGCCCCACCCGAAAATCGGGCTCCGAAGGCGGCTAGGCCTGAGCGAATCTAAAAGAAACAATGGGATTAGAGGCGCCCGCGCGGACCAGCAGGACGGCGGCTTCGGCAGCTCAGAGTCCAACCCTGCGACAGCGTCGGCAAGCTCCCTGAAATGGCGGCCGCGGCTTCCCCGTACTCACAGTCACCAACACACATACACACAAACACCCGGGGTCTCCTAGAGCCTACAGCACGGGCTCTCGCGAGAAACCGCCCGGCGTTCCAAAATGGAGAACACGAAGTATCGCGAGACTTAAGTACAAGGGGGAGGAGGGGAGGGGGAGGGGAGGGGGAGGGGGGAGGGACGCCCGGCGATCCTGGCCCAATCTCGCGCAACGATTGCGGCATGGACGTTCCATCCCCCCCCCCCCCCCTCCCGCCTTTGCCCCGGGGAGTCTCATCGCCAACTAAGCGCCCAAATCTCGCGACACGGCAAAAGCTATTGGTGCACTGTCAATCTTTCGGAGAACTCCTTGCTGAATGGGCCTCCGCCATCCCTAGTCCAGGCGCCTCCTCGCAGCCGTCTGAAAGGTCTTTCCTTCTTTGCTAATCGCCCCTAACCTTCCATCTCCCACTCTGATGGCTGTTCAAGGTCGCCGTAAGATGGCCTAGTGTGTTTGGCCAATGGATAAATCGGTCGTTCTCAATGATATTCCAAAGGGAGCCTAGGAGAGATGCCGAGAAGAGACCCTACGGGGGTTGGGGGAAGATTTAGAAAGTAGGATGCAATTATGATTTCCCTTCCCCTCAGTGCCTCTGAACTAGGTGTGGCCTCCCCGGTCAAGCTTCGAAACACGCGGAAACTGGAGAAAAGCAAAAAAATGCTAAGTAGGTTTTGCTTCTCTCAGCCATAGAGGACTTCCTCTCTCTCAAATTAATCTAGAAAAAATACCAGAATTGCTGTTTTTTCAAAAGTGGCCCATTTTCACGTTAAATTGAAGTCTCCCAGAATCCTCTCAGCCCAAGCACAGATTTTACCGCTTGTTTTTGGCTAATACTGTCACAAATAAAAGGAAACAGTTCACTGACTTTTTTCCCCCTCCTACATAAAAAAATTTAAGAACTATGTCTTTAAGCAAGTCACAAGATTAACAGCTTAATAATGGTGGCTTATAAAGGGTTAGAAATGAGACACTTGGTTGATGTAGTTGCTCCAACACTGTAACCTTCAACAAATGAAAGACCAAATCTTTAATTTCCTTCCACAAAAAAGGAATTCATTAGTTACAAGGCTAAATTTCTTGAGACTGACCAAGGCTGAAAATGATCACTACTGGATTCCTGAATTTAAGATGGACCTAATTATGTGGATATTCAGTAAATGAATACTCAATAGAAGTATAATAGAGGAAGTGGCGCTGTGGCTCAAGTGGTAGAGTGTGCTCGCCTTTAGCTGAAGAGCTGAGGGACAGCACTCAGGCCCAGAGTTAAAGCCCCATGACTGACAAAAAGCAAAAAAAAAAAAAAGTATAATGGAGAACAGATAAAATATTTTCATGGGCTGGGAAGGTGGCTCAGTGGCAGAGTGCTTGCCTTGCATGCATGAGGCCCTGGGTTTGATTCCTCAACACCACATAAGCAGAAAAAGCTGGAAGTGGCGCTGTGGCTCAAGTGGTAGAGCGCTAGCCTTGAGCTGAAGAGCTGGGGGACAGCGCCCAAGCCCACAGTTCAGGCCCCATGTTCAGTAAAAATAAATAAAATATTTTCTTCAAAATAAGGTTATTTCTGTTACTGCTAAACATTTGTTTGGCAAAAATGTAGACCAGGGAACAGATGTCTCATGGCTATAATCCCAGCTACTCAGGAGGCCAACCTGGGCAGAAAAATCCCTAAGAGTCTTATCTTCAATTAACAAACAAAAAGCAGGAACTAGAGATTTAACTCAAATGGTAGAATGCCAGCCAGTGAACAAAAAACCTAAAGGACAGCTAGAGACAATGAGTTCAAACCTTAGTACTGTTAAGGTCCGCTCTGCAAAAGCTAGGCTGACTCTTCTCAATTCTTGGCTGTCTCCACCCAGTACCTGTGTCACCTAGGTAACTGGCACACCTGGAGGCAGTCACCTCCCCTCCTCCAAAGTCACATCCTGGGCTACCCCTCCTCCCCCTCCTCCCATGGCCCCATAAGACCAACAGAAGATCCCAGGTCCTGAGGTCACATCCCCATCAGTAATCACACCGTCCCTCACCTGGCCCCACTTTCTCCCTGCCCCTTCTGTAGTTAAGGCCAGGCCTCTCAGATATGCACAGTGGCACAGGCAGTTCAGAATAAACTTCTCTTCCTTCCTGAATACCAAGTGGTGTTTATCGCCCACCCAATTAAACCTACCTCTTTAATAAACCTAACAAGTATGAACACACAAACACAAATACAAAATGTTTCTTCCAAGCATATTGTCAGAATATATTGACACTCCATCTCCAAAAGCCAAGAAAAAAAAAAAGGAAAAGAAACTGGTCTTGGCTCAAGTACTTAAGAGAGGTAACATAAGGCCAGAGTTCAATCCCCAGAAACAACAAAGCTTTGGTTTTTCAGGTTAACTTTCCACACAGAGATAAAGATTTAGCCCAGTGCTGGTGGCTCAGACCTATAATCCTAGCTACTCAGGAAAAGCTTTGAGATCTATCATGGTTTGAAGCTGAATGAGTCAAAATGTACAATTCTTCTTTTTTTTTTGAGGGGGGGGGGGGGGTCCGGTCGTGGGGCCTGAACTCTGGGCCTGGGCGCTGTCCCTCAGCTCTTCAGATCAAGGCTAGCACTCTGCCACTTGAGCCACAGTGCCACTTCGGTTTTTTTCTTTTTTGCTTATGTGGTGCTGAGGAATCTAACCCAGGGCCTCATGCATACAAGGCAAGCCCTCTACCACTGAGTCACCTTCCCAGCCCAAAATGTGCAATTTTTATTTCTAGTTAACCACCTAAAAACTGGAAATGGAGGTGTGGCTCTAGTGATAAAGCACACCAGCCTTTAGGTGAAAAAAGAGCTCAGGGACAATACCCAGGTCATAAAGTTCAAGACTTAAAACACACAAGAAAAAAAAAAAGAGTATTTATCTTACAGGGTTAACAGGTTTTTGTACTTAGTAATACTTGGTTAATCATATAGTCCCAAAGATTCAAATTTTCTTTTTTTTTCTTTTTTTGGCCAGTCTTGGGGCTTGAATTCAGGGCCTGGGCATTGTCCCTGACCTTCTTTTGCGAAGGCTAGTACTAGCACCACTTCTGAGAAATCAAACCCAGGGCTTCATGTATGCTAGGCAAGCATTCTACCATTAAGTCACCTTTCCAGCCCCTCCTTGTATTTTTATTCTCTCTTTCCTCTCCTCTCTTTTCCCATCCCGTCCCTTTCTTCACCCCTCAATATTTGGCTGGATTTGGAACTGTGGACCATACTAGGTAGTTTTCCTCATTTTGTGTGAACCCAGGGCTTTTGTATATATGCTAGGCAAGTATTATACCACTAAGAACTATGGTTACCACATCTTGGTTGTTGGGTTTTTTTGCCAGTCGTGGGGCCCGAACTTTGGGCCTGGGCGCTGTCCCTCAGCTCTTCAGCTCAAGGCTAGCTCTCTACCACTTGAACCATAGTGCCATTTCCGGCTTTTTCTGCTATGTTGTGCTGAGGAATCAAACCCAGGGTCTCATGCCTGCAAGGCAAGCACTCTACCACTGAACCATCTTCCCAGCCCCTTGGTTGTATTTTTTTTTTTTTTTTTTTTGTCGGTGGTGGGGCTTGAACTCTGGGCTTGGACACTGTCCCTTTGGTTGTATTTTTGTTTTACTTTGTGCTAGTACTCAGGCTTGAACTCAGGACCTAGGCACTGTCCCCAAGCTTTTTTTTTTTTTCCCCTCAAGGCTAGAGTTCTACCACTTGGGCCATAGCTCTACTTCCAGTGTTTTGTTGGATAATTAAGAGATGTCAGCCTCAAGGATTTTCCTGCCAGAAGCTACTGGTGTCTAGCTACCTATATAAGTTGTTGTTGTTGTTGGTTGGGAAGAGGGGAGGTGGTTTATTGCTGGTCCTTGGGCTTGAGCTCAGAGCCTGGATGCTGTCCCGAGCTCTTTTTTTCACTTAAGGCTGGCACTCTATCACTACAGCCACAGCTTCACGTCTGGTCTTTTGTCCCTGAGCTTCTTTGTGCTCAAGGCTAGCACTCTACCCCTTGAGCCACAGAGCAACTTCTCGTCTTTTCTGAGTAGTTTATTGGAGATGAGAGACTCATGGACGTTTCGGCCCAGGCTGGCTTCTAACCACCATCCTCAGATCTCAGCCTCCTAAGTAGCTAGGATATAGGCATGAGCCCCCAGAGCCTAGCCATGTAGAAGTTTCAAGTGTCTTAAGTAGAACAGGAAATTGAGAAATAATCTTTTTCTTTTTTTTTTTGCTTTTTTTAATCCATTGTGGGGCCTGAACTCTGGGCCTAGGCACTGTCTTTCAGCTCTTCAGCTCAAGGCTATAGCTCTTATCTCTTAAGCCACTACGCCACTTCTGGTTTTCTAGTGGCTTATTGGAGAAGAGTCTCACAGACTTTCCTGCCTGGGCTGGCTTTTAACTGCAATCCTCAGATTTCAGCCTCTTGAGTAGCTAGGATTACAGCCATAAGCCCAATGCCTGGTGAGAAATAATTTCTAAGGAAAGAACAAACTAACCTTTGCCATCTGTTTTCCCCTGTATTGTTTTTTTGTTTTTTTTTTTTTTTTGCCTGTCCTGGAGTTTGAACTCAGGGCCTGGGCACTGTCCATGGGTTTCTCTTGCTCAAGGCTAGCACTCTACCACATGAGCCACAGCACCACTTCCGGCTTTTTCTATTTATGTGGTTCTGAGGAATTGAACCCAGGACTTCATCCATGCTAGGCAAGCACTCTACCACTCCCAGTTACCATCTTGTAATTTTATGGTGTTTTGTTTTGTTTTGTCATTGTGGGGCTTGAACTCTGGGCTTGAGTGTTGTCCTTGAGCTCTTTAGTTCAAGGCAAGTGTTCTACCACTTGAGCCACAGTGCCACTTCCAGTTTTCTGGTGTTTTTCTGGAGATAAGAGTCTCATGGAGGGCTGGGAAGGTGGCTCAGTGGTAGAGTGCTTGCCTTGCATGCCTGAGGCCCTGGGTTTGATTCCTCAGCACCACATAAAAAAAAAAGAAAAAAGCCGGAAGTGGCACTGTGGCTCAAGTGGTAGAGTACTAGCCGAGCTGAAGAGCTGAGGGAC